GCATGATGTCATTGTATATATGTAATTATCTTGGCTTAATTAAACGTTCATTTCATAGCGTGGACGTCTTTTTGGATGAACATTTGAATAATAATAAACGTGATTGTCCGCAGACTATTTTACAACGTTGTGCATCCTTGTAGGGATTTTGAAACTGCATGAAGCACTATGCATAAGCGTGTACACGATATTGAGAGTTTTAGTGGATCACATGCATTTAAGCTTTGAGGGTCGTAAGGTGCATGCGCAAAACGCAACATTGCGTTCTACGCGTGCGCACTTCCGACTCGCAGTTGTATTGCGTAAGCATGGCTCTTGCGTACGAGCCACTAAAACTCCCTGCTGTTGTTATTAGGGGTGTCGCGAACCGGCGGCGGTTCGAGTTCGACCAGGTTCGACTTTTTCGAACTTTTAGTGGAAAGGTCGACGAACCTTTTATTGAGGTTCGACTCGTGTGCGCATGCGCGACAGGCTGGCCAGTTGGCTTCGGATTGGATGATAGTGGCTAAGATATGAATTAAGTGCAGCGCTGATTGGCTATTTTAGTTAATACAGTACTAAAAATTAAGTTTTTAACTTCTTCATTGATTAGAATTAGTTTCTTTTAATTGCAGCTGTTTGCAATATAAAATAACTCTTTGCATAAAAAACAATTTTCCAAACCTAGACATACTTGTATCAAGGTCTGGCCGCACTGTGCACAAAGTCGAACCGGTCGAATCTGGTGAAAAGTTCGAAGGTTCGTCGTCGAACCCCGAAAGTTCGACCAAAAAATCTGGTTCGACAAAAGTTCGCGACACCCCTAAGTGATTGTACATGCTAAGTAAGGAACTTCATGCAAATAATAATTTTTTTAATAAACAATAAGTAAAAATAAAACAAGAGAAATCGGCTTCAGTCCTTGTTTCCTGGAATATAACATATAAAAATAAAAAGGTTTGACTTCAGCCCCCCCCCCCCCCCCCCTCTAGATCTACTTCCGGAGTCCCTGGACCTACACGCCGTTGACACGACCACATCAGTATAGTAGTTTCTTAGCAATACCCTCAGGGAAACAAGTTTGGTGTGACACGTTGCGACCCCCAGCTCAAAATATTTGCAACACTGGGAAGGCTTTTTCGCCAACCTGCTTGCTCGTGGGGCTGTTCACACATCAATTTGAATGTGTTGATTCGTGTTTTTGGTCTTTTATTCTTAACATTGCTATCGGGTGTTGCAGACGAGCAAACATAGAAACTGTAGGCATTGTTGCGTACCAGAGTGTTGCAACCCCGGAAGCTCGACGGAAACCTGCGGGCATGAAGCTCCGCAGGTTTCCGTCAAGGCCATGGAAAATACAACGGCATCGGAGATGAATAAATGCCGTAAAAAGTGTCAAATAAGCATGCCGTTCACCTTACCTGACTTGAGATAGATTTCTAAATGCGCTATGAGACTCTATATTTGGAATTAATGCGCTCGAAGCCCGACGTTGTCTTCGGATTCGAAGAGATGATTCTGGAGTCTGATCAGTCCTTTGACACCCTCACCGCACACATCTTGATCGAACGTTTTGTGGACGTTTGATCGTAGCTACCGAAAACCGAAGTAAGCGTTTTCTCCGCTTCGCCGATTGCAGAACTGACCGTCGTTTGCGCGTTTAGCATGATTGCGTAGCTGCCCAAGATGGTTGCTCTTTTCGACCCGTGTCTATGTGGATCTAAGTTTATCCCCGCTGCGAGAAAACAGTCTATGCAAGAAATAATAATAAAGTGTACTTACCCCACGAGAAAAGGGGATGAGGACGATTCGTCACATAGGAACATTCGTCACAAGGGAAACTGGTCACATCGAGCAGGCAGGGGACGAAAGTAAAATGTAAATTTCAACTGCCCACAGTCCCTGATGGGGAGTTTCACGACTTCCTATTGTGACATAAACCAATGGTTAGAAAAACTAGTCTTACAATACTCAACGTAGAAAACGTTTTGGCACTCATCCGCTTTTCCTTTGAGTCTTCAGCAGGTTGATCTCTGCTGGGTCCCCCGCGTGCGTATGCTGGCTTGAACGAGCAATAATCCAACTGGTGGTCAAACAGTTGTTACTTTTGCCTTGCATACACTTCTTCTGCAACAAATCCAATAAGTATCAGTATTCTTTCTGCTGCACGTGTACGAATACCCCTCGTGAAGCAGCATAGCTCCACCTCTCTCTGTTGCGATCACCTCCATCCTTCCGAATGCAGTCAGAGTTCAAAAATAGTTGCTCTCATATGGCCTCCGCATTCACAGTTCGGGGCGGAACCAGAAGCTAAAACGTCTGTTACAAATTCTTAGCCCTTGAGAAGCGAAAGACATGCTAAGAGGTGACCTACTTTATCCGGCCAAACCCACATTCATTGTTCGGGACCGAACCAGAAGCTAATACATTTGTTACTAATTCTTCGCCTTTCAGAAGTGAACCACTTTGTCCGCCCGAACCAAATGGAACAATACATTTTTTGGGGGACAAACTATTCTGGGACCGGTTGCCCGCGTGACGAGTCATCCTAGGACGAATGTTCCTGTGTGACAAATTGTCCTTTGACGAGTGTGCATGTGACAGATGGACCGTATTCCGAGAAAAGGTTACCTAGGTAGCGTTTATTTGTGTTCCATGTAAAAGCGAACATCATATTCAATCGACGAGAACGAGCATCAGCTTGCGACGAGCAACTGCGTATGACACCGTCCAAACTACAGCCAGCTTGCATGAAAAACACATTCCTTGGACGTCATAGTCACCTTCAACACGGCGACGAGGGGACTGGAAACAAGCTGATCACCAAAATGAGGTCAGCTATTCATGCGGGAAGAGTTCACTCGGAAAAAAAGGGCGGGTGAGGGTGAGAGGGAGAAGGGGGGGGGGGTCGCTTTTATAGAGCTCGACGAAGCCTTCGCTTTTGTTAACATAAAAAAAAACTGCTTTTGTCTATTTACTTTGACTTATATTTGGCCATAATACCAGGCTGTTTAATTTTGTTCTGCTAGCTCCCGTTTTGGGTTGTCTCAACCCATCGAGGAAGGCACCTACTAAAACTCTCTAATGCTAGAACGACAAAAACACACGCATGCACATATATAATGTTTGATAGATTCTTCCATAGTGTAGAGCGCGACAACACAACGCTCGGAGTTGGTAATAACGTTATCTCGCAAGGCTGCGTCAGCGGCACTGCCGATTTTAGCTGTCCCAGTGTTGCCTCATTTGGCCACGGTAGCGCTGATGATCAACCGAGGGTGGCACTCTCTGTAACCCTGCCCAGAGCCATTAGGGACTTTTAGCAAACCGTTACCGTGTTCCGCGCACTACCGGAGCCTACCCAATCAATATATTGCTACAGCATCACATATATTTTTAACAAAGTAAAAAAACACAACTGCTCGAAACCGAAACTGGAGAGGAAGAAATATAGGGAGAAAGTTACCTAAGTCACGTGGCTGTGCAGCCCCCCTTTTTTTTTTTTTTTTTTCAATCAACGTATTTCCAACTTTTTTTTGATGCTACAAAAAATGGATGTCTTATTTTCAGTCTATTTTTAGTATTGAGTGTGTGCCTCCGATGACTTGCGACCTTATCTTTGGTGGTTGTCTAAACCAGTGGTTCTCAAATGGGGGTCCGCTAAGCCCTGCCACATCAATCAAGCCCGGCAATAAAGGTTCTTTTTTTCAGGTCGAAAAGAAACGTTTCAGTTTTCGGGCGAGTTTTCTCATGTGAACGTCAGTAAGAAAGGTCTACTTCACACTAGCCCTTAGTGATATCTATTTATTAAATAATTATTATATTTAACTTATACCTTTCCTCTCCTCTCTCACCACGAACAGGGTCCTCCATCATCTCTGCCGATCCACAAGAGGCCCGCGAATCATCGATGGTTGAGAACCGCTAGTCCAAACCATAGAAAACGGCTCGCAACTACGGAGAGAGTGAGCGGGACTGAAAATGGCCAGTTCTCGACCGGCGGTTTTCGGGCGGAAAGAAAACTAATTTCAAGCCACAAATTGTGTTCCATGTAGTTGGGCTCTCATGTCACGTACAAATAAAAACCTTGCTTCAAAGGCTCCAGTAGCGCGCAGTACACGTTAACGGTTTGCTGAAAGTCCCTATTGGTTCAGAATTACCCAACGAACACAACACGGTAAATTACTGTGGTCCATAAATAAGAGTAGGGTACTCCAATAAATATAGCTTAGAAAAACATTTCGGCTAGTTTTGGCGCAACATGTGCGCTTGGGAGCTGGATGGCGCAGCGAAACAGGATTGGCGTACAATGGCGTAATTAGAGCAGCGCTTCCACCCCAGAGTTCCATAGACAATAAAGAAAAAACATTTTACTAGTATATATAAAAAAAATTACTTTAAACTGAAAATGACTGGTCTCCAAACCCTTGCTAGTTGACAGTGGCAGTACTATTTGTCCAACTCCTACGCCTTACAATACGCACTAGATGCAGCAAAAAGAAAAAATGTCACCCGAGGGACGTAGATACTTGTGAGGTTTGCGATACACATACTTTCATGCGAATATGGTCATTCTTATTCACCTTCGTTTGGTTTGTTGGCAAATAGTTTGTAATGATAACCACCAATTAGAGCACCAACTTTTAGGACAAAAATGTGTTGCCCTTTAAAATAAGACAAAACACAGAAAAACATTCCTGGATTTAAACCTGAAAAAGATAAACCTGTGGCTAACTTAAACCACTCGCCCATATTGAGCAGTTCACTTATAAACTATGTTTTATATCAGCTTGTCCCTAGGGAACCCCATATGTCAGAATTTTCTCACTTAAAGTTAAGATTCCCTTTTAATAAAAACTGTCGGAGCAAGCAGTGCAACCAGCATATCACGTTGTAGCCCTCTCCGCAGACTGACTTTGTGATCCTCAACTTGAGTAGATGAAGTGCTGATACCTCTTCCTGGAGAGAATTCATCACATCGTTGCCCGTGAGTGCGCTTAGTCAGAGCCCAAGGCACTCCATTCCTTTCCACCTACTTTATTTCAGATACAGGTCACAGACACGAGTACACAAACGAGACATGCCAAAATTACCCACTTCGCTTTATACCAGCTAAAACCAAATTTTCTGTACTCCACTGCAGACACTCGACAGATACGTTTTGAACAGCGTGGTACTGGATAACATGCGAGTAAAAAGTAAAAATGGCCATTAGCTATGTTGTAAAAATGCTCCAAGATATGAACAGTTGGTGGCAGATGCTTCACAAAGCAGATAAAAACAATTGCAATAATAATAATAATAATATATATATAAAAAAAAAGATACAAGTACCCCAGAGTTTCCGCATATCAAATCCTTGACGGGTACATCAAGGAGTGAATACTGTTTCTAAACTTATAGCGCACAGTGAATAAACAAAGGCATACTAGAACTATACCCAGACAGACAAAAAAGAATGTCACAATTGCACAACACAGATTTTTGATCAATCAAAACAAGAATAAAAAAAAAAGACGTAAGCAACAAGACTACAAGATGAAAACAAGACAAACTTTGCCATCAACAACCATATGCTGCCCGAGGAAAAACACATGGCAGGAGCCGCTAGTGATAAAACAAGGTGGCAAAAATGATCCGCCCTGAACACACTTGCACTTGAGAGGCTGCCCTTGAACCAAAACTGTTAGGGGCAAGGGTTCTCCGCAAAAGTTGTTCCCTGCGCACTGTTCCGACAGTTCCGCTTTGAGGGGGAATCAACATCCAAACTTGCACCAAACAGATGGTTGCCAGGACACCCCCCCCCCCCCTCCCCCTCCCACCCAAACTTTGCTGTGACCCCAAGCTAATAATAAAAAAAAAAAAAAAAAAAAAAAAAAAGAACAAAGGGGCTTCTGCCAACCTCCGAGTGGAACGATTAGAGGTCCGTATCATACCAAGCTGCCAACTGACCACTGCTATCCTGCTGAGCAGGTGAGGGCAGCGACGGGTCAAGTGGGTCAAAATTGAGGTCACCCGGGGCATCAAGGTCCATGTCGGTGTCCATGGGAGTGTAACTGTGGCCCCCTTGTGACGGCCCTAAGTCCAGACCTTGCATCGAGTCTATAGGAACTTGGGAATCATAGCCTGAAGGCGGGAGACAAGAGAGACGGTGGTAAGTCACACAAGTAATGTCACATTAATGCAGATACAGTGAGGGATTTGTGTTCAAGAGAACAGAGAATGTTCCTTAAGTGAACAGATGTTGTGCATTCTGCACTGTACAAGAACAGTGCTTTGCTAGCTGCAGAGGCAAATGTGCAGAGACAACGTGATGGTTGCATTTGGAAAGTGCCATGGCAATACATTTCAGTGCGCATGCAAGGGTGTTCCAAACAACGGCAACATTACTCTATAAAAAAACAAAGGCTACCACAGAATCTTTTACAGCTCTCTGATCATACTGACAAAAAGAAAAGGGGATCACAATGCAATATCTAACACAGATACAGTAGACTCAATAATTCAAACTCCAGTAAGCTACAATTTTTGTTTGAATTATCAAAACATTATCTAAATACAATGCAAGATACAATTATGATTTGCCATATGAATGGTTACACATACGATGCAAATATTTGATGATTTCTCAACATAGGCCTACTGATCATAAGCAGGTATGCCACACTGTTTAGACAGCACATGACCACCACTCAAAACAAAATAGTTCATTCATCAGGCCAAGAAGTTGTCTAATGTGGACCATTAAGCAGGCGACACCTAAACAATGAAAACGGGCACCGCGTGGCAGTTTTAATAGCAACTTGCGCGGACGCTGTGACGTGGATCTAAGCCATGCTGCCTTGTTACAGCGTCCGTGCAAGTTTCTGTGGAAATTTTCGCGTCGTGCTCGTTTGAGCCCCATTGAGTGCACTCCTCATCGAGCACCGGTGAACCGTGGAGAAGCGACACCCACGGAAGCAAGCTCCGGTGGTGTTGCTTCTTTGCAGTGCACCGGTGCTCGGAAAAAAGTGCACTCAACTGAGTCGCGAGAACAAAAAGTATGAACTACACAAAAACGCTGTTCAAAAACGCTGTTCTTATGAATATGCCTTATGAATACATTAAGAACATAGCGGAACAACCAAATCTTGAAATTTGTTTGAATTAACCAGAAGCATGCAATATCCGTGTTTGAATTATCGCGAGCCTACTGTACTAAAGAAATACTTAGAGCAGGGGTTCTCAAACAGGGTTCCGTAGAGCACTGAAATTGCAGTGCCCTTCTAGTTAACCTTCCATGGACTGAGCCATGGATTGAGTTTGTGTTGCGGGCAAAGCAACCCTACGTTTCACACTAATATGTATATGGACGATTTCATTTCAAATCTGGCAGGCTAAAAGTGCCAGATTTTTATTTTTTTGCGAAAAGCAGGTTTTGTGGGCATTTCTAAAAGAAAGAAGGGCACAAACCGCAAGTTTCCCATATTTTTGTTTTCAAGTTATGGAGCGTAAGACGGTGCGGCAGAAATGAGTGTTTTTCCTTGCCGTCGCAGGTCGGATATTTAATGCCTTTTGCTGCCGTTATTTCTTTCTTTGCCTCCTTTAACCTTTTTCTAGCATTCAGGGGTGGAACTCATGAAATCTACTTGGGAGCAGCCATGGGAGCAGCTGAAACAGCCGTTTTGGAGCCGATTGGGAGTAGCTAAAACTACATTCTGGAGCAGGTTAGGAGCAGCTCAGATCAGTTTTCATTACACTTCAGCTAGTGTCTTAGACAAGCACGGGAGCAATTTCAATTGTGCTTAGCAGCACAGATGAAGATGAGTGGTTAGGGACCTAGGTAGATGGGATAACAGTGTAACAGAAGGGAAAACTTGAAACTTTGCAAGCCTTAATGAGAACCAAAAAGCAAGTACCATATGTTTCTGAAGATAGTGTCCTTGATATTTTCCGAGTGGCTTTCAGCTGCTCAAAATGCAAACCAGCACTGCTTATCGCACAACCCACACGTGCTCGACATAGTAATTATATGTGCGAAGCACGTGACGTGCGTAAGCAACGGACGTGCAGTTGCACAGAGGAACAGGGCAACGAATTTCGAGTTTATCCTATTGTGCAACTCAATATCAAAGAAGCAGACTACGATTAAAGGAGTTATCATATTCCAAGCGATAAGCAGGAGCAAGGTTAAAATACGCCGAGCAGATGTACGAGAGCTGCTGGCCAGCAAGGTTTCGTATTGGACCGCGTTTTAGTTCAATCTAATCACGATTTATCCTGCGGGAATGCGGTTCCAACTTCTAACGATGAAGTACTAAGAGGAACCTTTTGCTCATTTGTTTTCAACAGGATGACATCCGGATCCCGGATTAACCACTTATGGTTGAAGAATAACAATCCAGTCGCCCTTGGAATCCAACCCCCCGAGTTTTTTTGCGCGCTTCCGACTCGGGATACACAGGGAGAATAAACAGAACAAATGATTGCAAGGCCGACCAAGCTAAACACCCTCATTGTTGTGAATCGAGTCGATAGAAACCGAAACCGAGACAAAATACAATTTTTTTGGCGCACATTTTGTGATTTGGTGCATAATGGCGCGAGGTATTGGCTGTGGCGCAGTTTCCTCAACAAGGCGCAGGATGGCGCAGACAAATGCGTCTGGTGCAAAATGGTGCAGCCGTTCCACCCCAGAGCATTTAGTAGATATTATAAAGACACCCTGGACAAAACACAAATTTACAAGTGTTTAAACATTTTTCTTACAAAACGTCAAACTGAACTCCCAGGTCGATTTTGTTGTCAACTTTGACAGGTCCCTACTTTGGTTAAACTAAGGTAAAGGAACCTTTTTTATATCTATGAGAAGCCAAAAACAAGCTGATTATAGATACAATATTATTCAGATCTGTCAATAAGCCACCTCGCTGTCATCACATAAACAGTGTATAAAAAAACAAAAGTTGCACGTCTAAACTTAATTTTCTCAACAGCCAAATTTTGTTCTAATTTTTAGCTTTTGAATTCTTGTAGATACAATAGTAGACTATTAGAAAACAAAAATGGGGTTTTTGAAAAAAATTAATTTTAAACATACAACTTTTGTTATTTTATACGCTGTTTGAGTAAATGATAGAGATGGCTAATTAACAGATCTGAACGATAGTATTATATCTATAATAAACTTGTTTTGGACATTCCATAGATCTAGAAAAGGTAATTTACCTGAAGAGGACCCTGAAAAAAAAAAAGTGTTTTTAAACAGTCTGTTGGGACATGCGTGTCAAAAAATAACTTTTAAGCGGAAAACTTTTCTCTTAAAGCAATATTGTTGGCGAGATTTAATTGAAATTCTGCGCTCAAAGTCTATGATGTTACGAGTCATTCCGGAATGATCATCTCAGTCATGAAGGCGAAGCCGATCCGATCCACCTCTCCACGCACCAGAAATGTTGAGAGAAAACGGGTGGAAAAGAGGTGACTGCCGACTAAATCGAGTCTCACGCCGTCAATATTGATCTAAAATTGACACCAAGAGCAAACTCTTGGTGTCAATAAATGTTGTTGCTAGTTGGAAGTTTGTGGTTGTTCGTCCTTCTCGTTTTCTTCCTTAAGTTTAATTACTTAAAAATCAGTTTCACATTGTATAAATATTTTTGTCCAGTGTGTTTTTATAGAACCTACTAAATGCTAAAAAAAAGTTTAAAGGCGGCAAAGAAAGAAAATAACCGCAGCAGAGGGTATCCAATATACGACCTGACGGCAAGGGAAAACTGTAATTTCTGACGCAGCGTCTTCCAAACTCCATAACTCGAGAACCAAAAATATGAGAAACTTGTGGTTTGTGCCCTCCTTTTATTTAGAAGTGTCCCCAAAACATTTTTTTTAGCAAAAAAATAAAAATTAGGCACGATTTGAGATGAACTTAGCATATATATTTCACATTGTGCCCCAGTTTAACTCATCCGCCTTCATATTCTGTCTTAAGTCCTCCATTTTGTCTTATTCTGTCAGTGCAATAAACTCTTGTTCACTGTCTAAACACCATTATTGCCCAGTACTTTCGGTTGGCAAGAAAGGGGGGGGGGGAGGGGAGGAGGGAGGGTCCTTGGGACTTTTAGAGGCTTGCTGGAGTTCTTTGGGATGAAAAAGTTTGAGAACCCCTTACTTAGAGGATAGGCATAACTAGGGAGCCTTCATGTGCGCTTTGCTAGGGTGATGCCACGCTTTGTAATACCACTCGCCGACAAACCAGTAGCCATTTTGTTCCTCGGCGATAATCCGTGGGGCTCATAACCCTCTTGGAAACGAGCACCTTATCTCAGAAGTTTGGAGCAGCGTTGTGGAACCCACGGAGGGAGGATTAGCATTCTCCCCCTCGGAGGGGATTACCGATGGACACAAAGGCCACTTTCCGGCGCACGGGGAAACAATGAGAGAAACAAAATGGCGGTGGAAGAGGGTGTGGGAAAGGGAAACAGGCAGTTGGCATCACTCTAAGCGAAGCGCACATGAAGGCACTCTAGGCATAACAGAACCTTTTACACGAGACATATTAAATATATTCAGCTTTCGGATATACAGGATATGTTGAATATGGTAAAGAAACATTCACATTCAGATCAAACAAAGCATGCAGGATGCTTAGAAGGAATGTGAGCCCGTACCACAGTACTGTTCTCCTCATACGGGACAGCTCGAAAAGGAAGATGTTTCCAATTGGGTTAGTAACACTGCAGTATCAGGTTCCGCAGTAGTGATAGCAGGTGTAACTGCTTCTTCCAAGAGAGTTAACAAAAGATCACACACACACCCAAACCATCTTCAGAGTTTGGTGGTCATACAATGACCGGAGATGGAACAAGCAAGGACTCCCATATCTACTTCCAAACAGGTTGCACCTTACATTAGACAGCCAAATTTGTCAACATAAGCTTTTCATTGCAAAAATATGTGAACAGTTCCTTACTTTTGTTGTCACGGAAAGCAAATTTCCTCCCATTTTCATTCCGTCACAGCATGAGAACTAGACACAATTCTCCGAGATTGAAATTAACTTTATATAAATCCTGTTTCACTCACAGCTTACTCGGAGCCATGCTGAAAGCTAAGGGCACATTAGTCCTTTGCTTCAATACCATCTGTTTCAAATATATGCTGCGTATCTATTTTTCAACAGTGCCGAATCAACTTCCTTGCTTTGCCAACCATTTTGAATTCTGCTGGATTACTTGACAAGCCGAGGCCGCAGCAAAACACACGCATATATTGGGTCGAACGAAAGAGCTAGAAAAACGGAAGGCTGGAATTTGGAGGAATCAACAGTTCTAAATATGTGAAGCTCATTTTGAAGAGTTAAATCTCTTGCCAATGTATCTTGTTAAAAGTGGGACCTATATAGAGGTCAGTTCTTCAGAATAAAACATCTTCCCATAACGCTCGTGATCTCACGTGCGAGTTTACAACACGTGCGCTTTGTCGCACATTTGACATTGCTTATGCGCGTTTCGCACTGCAAGCAAAGTTTCAGACTGTGACATTGCACTCGCAGGACCAGACAAAAGTTAGGAAATTAAAAGAATGTGCCGCTTGCAAAACACAGCCTGAACACCACGGTCTCAATACCAAGCTCGTTATGTTCTTGCATACATTACATCAAAACCACTTAACCTTGAAAGTAATCAACACATAAATGTGTAGGAGTCCACTAATGATAAAACAAGATGGAATGTTTTTGGGTGAACAAACCAAGCCTGTCCAACAAAACTGGAGTGCTGACTGGAGACTCAAATATAAGTAAAAGAAAGGTGTGATGCCATTTTTCTCTCCCATAACTTTTTCTGCCAAACAAATTGGGGCTAAACACACTACACCTTTATACTAAGGACACACCAGTCCTATCAAATGTAGGCAGCAAAAAGTGGACGTATGGACTATAATGGTAACGAATTGTTCACAGCCAAAAAATGAAAGCCCCTTTCCTTTTTAAGATTGAGAAAAGAAAAAACAGCCAAAATCAAGAGACATGTCAGACCAAAAGAAACGAAGGGGCAACATGTTAACCAGGGTGCCAGGTCTGCCCAACAACAGGGCAACAAAGCTATGGTCGCCTCAAAGGTTGTTGCTTAGGACGAAGGCCTCACCCTGCTGGGAGTAGGGGTTGTGACGCCCATTGGGGGGTCCCTGGCTCCCAGGGTACATCTGCTCATGGTACGCATCTAAGTTCATGTCCATGTCCGTCCCCTGCAAAAGAAAAGGATTACAAGTGTGTATACACAAGTCAAAACTACCGTGTTTTGCATGATTCTATCGTCCACTTTTCTTTTTCCAAAATTGATGACCAAAACTACATGTGCATTACAATCTTACAATCAAAACCAAAAACCGAAACTCAATGCTCGGTTAAGGTGGCTACCCCATCGCCATCGTGACTGTGTTTATATTCGTCCCCATTTTGGTATCCGTATCGCGCACATTCTCTCGCGTCTACGGACTCGTGTCTGTCGTCTCAAGATTAAAAAAAAAAAAGAAAAAATTCCGCTTTTTTACAAATTTTACGAGCTCGCAAAGTGTTGTTTGAAAGACGACCCTGCCAAAGGCAACGGCTGCGCACTCATACATGCGCAAGAAGCGCGGCACTTAAAAAGTTTTAGATTAAAGCAACTATTAATAACCTTTGTGGACAGCGAAGAACCATCGTCGGACTCTGAGAACAGCGATTAGTGCACGGCATTTATTTTTTTGTGTTGGCATGCCTTTCATGAAATCTGTTCTATGAGGTATGTGGTCAATCTTCATTATTTTACCTGCGCGGTAGAATCGGCAGCAATTTACTTTTTGATTATCTGGAAGCTAAATCTGCCTGTGCGTTGGAATCGTGCAAACATGGTAACTCTAAGAGGGCGGGCAGTTCTAAGCATTACCAAGAGATGCACTTACGTCAAATCCCTCCATATAACATGCATTTTAGCACTCAACTCTTGCCTAGTAGTTCTCAAAATGCCTCTCATTCAACCAGGATCAATTCTGGACACCATCTGCTTCTGTGTAATTCTTGCCATGGCTTTGCTTACTCCACCCAACCTTCCACTCCTATAGCTGAGGCGAGTCCCAAATTTGGTTTTAATGTTTTGAAATGCCATCCTTAATTGAAACAAATACCTGCAGTTCTCGGAAACAAATCAAAACTCAAAGCAAATTTCAGACATGAAGAACGTCCCCAGGATTTAACTAATACCAAATGACCCTAAACATAACTCGCCCCAGATAACAAACCACCTGTCAGTAAGGTTAAAAACAGTTTTGCCTTCATTCCTTTGTTCTGCAAAAACTATTCTCCATTCTTTTTTTTTTTCTCCTTAAATGCTTTTAACACTACAACCATGAACTAATGCTATGCACATGAAGAAAAGAGTGCAAAATCTGCTCCAAGTCATTTCTCCGAGACAACACTTAGTGAACCTAAACGCCCTTCGATGATGACCAGAATTCAACATGGCATCCTGCCATTTCCGGTAGCAAAGGCATGCACCTTTATTACCACACCGTCAGAATAACACCCAAAAGACTTTCACACTTCATGTTTTGTAAGCGGGTTGTGGCAACAATGGCGGCATGTATTCCTAAAAGCGATTTCTCTGACATTACCGTGCCTCCCCACGGCCCGGCATCCTCGCGGAACAGCGAATTCGTCAGCTCCATCGAGAGCCGCTTCTTGTAGTCCTGTGGCTTGTCTTCTGACATGCGGAAGAGGACTGCCGCCGCATAGGTGGCTGCACAAGAAAAGCAAAAAGGCACACATTACTAAAAAAAAAATTCAGTTAGGACAACTGAACTAGGTATGAAACAAAGTAAGAGAGACTCTGCCCTGACCACGCTGGAACCTACATTCTTTAGATGCACATTCCCTCCCAAAAGGATGGCCCAGAGCTGACATCAGTACTAAAAGCTCAATACACGATTATGATTACGGGTTTAATGGCGCAAAAGCGACAAAGGCCATACTGCACCAAGTTTTGCAGTAGAACCTCATTGATATAGTCTTTCAGAAGATCTAACAAACAACATGTTAATATCCCAAGAGATGCCCCACCCCAAAAGAGAGCCCACCCTGCTTTTAGGCAAGATTTTCTGTTCATGCAAGAACATCAAATGATAGCCCAGTCCTAGAAATCACATTACCCAGGTGACCTCGGCAGTAACGGGGCAGCCTTTTTTATCACCGTCATTCCGCTATATTTGCAGCATTTGTAAGGGACAAATGTGCCAAGTCTGTGGGGATGAACAGAGGCCACGGCAGCTATAACAAAACAAACATCTGACTATAACCTCAATCCAGCTTCACTATTGCATAGAAAGCGGGATGTGACAAAATTGCAGTGACTTGATCCCCGGCGCCAGTCATGTGGATGAACGGTGCAAATAAAGTAAAAAAAAAAAAAATCGGGACACGTGTTGATTGTCATTTGAAACTTCAGTTGCTGTTATACATTAACTTTATGGAGACATAAACCACAGAGACATAAAAAAATTGGTTTTTCAACTGTAAAGCAACTTCCAGATTCCGGTAGAAGGCGAGAAAAGTTGTGTGAATAGGCTGACTTTTACATTCCTTAAAAAAAAAAACCTGAAAAGAAAATTTTTTTTTTTTTCAACAACCTGGTGGTTGGGACCAGTCTTGGGTAGTAACGCGTTACTGTAACTTTGTTACTTCTTTGGTAACTTGTAACTGTAACGAGTTACTTTTTAAAAATGTAACTTGTAACTCTAGTTCTATTACTTTTTTCTGAGGTAACGATGAAAGTAACATTACTTTCCAGTGTTCTATGAATAATATATCATTGAACCAGTGCAATTTAGCCATTCCTTGCACTTTCCAAATCGTCTATTCCGACATTTCGAGTGTCAAGTTGGCCTCGCACAAAGTTGTGAACACGTTCTTTCTCGCGAGTCACGACCCGAATATCGCCACGTGTAGATTTTATGAAAAAAATATCCGGTTATCTTTACGCACGCGCTTGTACTTTGTGCCTGAACACTTACATCTTAGTGTCTTGAAGCACTACCTATGTTGTGGTTTTTCTTTTTTCTGTGCAAACGCTTTTTAATCGGGTGAATCAACCGTAAAACAACAATACACGTGAAGGGCACTGCGCTTGTCCCGTATTTTGATTAGCGCAACTACTCCGCACTGCGCATGTTTTGTATTTTGATTTGCACCACTACTCTGCCGTGGAAACATTCAAACACTAACTTCGAGAAGCAACTGCTGCTAAGTTACAATATAAAGTAAAAAGCATACTTTTTTAATTTTATGCAATAAAACGTTATGAGGGGCGTCTTCTAGTTTTTTTTTTTTTTTTCTAAATTTGTGTTATAGAAAAGTAACTGAAAAGTAACGTCGTTACTTTTTAAAAGTAACTAACTGTAACTAGTTACTCTTTTGTTGCAGTAACTGTAACAGTAACTTCGCTACTTTTTTCTGAAAGAAACTGCAACTGTAACGAATTAACTTACCCATGACTGGTTGGGACATGCGTAACAAAAAAATAATTTTACGCGAAAAATTTTTTTTTTGGAACAGTATTGACGGCATGGGATGCGATTTAGTCGGCAGTCACCTCCTTTCCACTTGTTTTTTCTCTCGACATTTCGGGCACATGGAGGAGAGGTGGATCGGCTTCGCCTTCATGACCGAGATGGTCATTCCGGAATGACCCATACGTCATGGACTTTGCGCGCAGAATTTCAGATAAATCTCCCACCGTCAATATTGCTCTAAAAATTTTTTCTTCGCATAAAATTTATTTTTTGACACGTCCTACCCACACTTTTTTTTTTTCTTTTTAGGGGCTCTTTAAAACACTTTGCATTCACAGCCTGAATACAATTTTTTAACTCTTGGTCACACTCCAAAAGTTAGCTCACCCTATACTTGTAGTCATGGACAAAAAAATACAAACAACCAAGTGTTTGACTTCCTGAGCATGCAGAACTTGCTGGTACTTCTCCAGCAATATTATTATTGGGTTAGCCCAACGAGCTAACCTATCTAGCTCAATCGAACTCAGTACATGTGGTTCATAAGGTTCAAGATGAACCTCATGAACATGATCATACCATGCTGCGAATTTCCAGGAAGTACAAAAGAGCCTTGAAGGGAAACTCCACTTCATTCTCGGTTGTTAGCAAACAATGCAACTCTCTTTAGTATCATCTAAAGAGGCCGCATGTCATTAGAACATAATACCACCTAAAAGATAATTAAACTGGCCCAACAAAGTCACGAAAATCCGCTAATTTAACAGGAGACGTGTGGTACAGCCAACGATGAATTTTTGTTGTGGCTAACGTCTGTTGCATGCAGTTTTTTTTCTTCTTGTTATTCTTTTCCAGGGAGAGCTCACCAGATGGCGCTACCGGCGCGAAACGTCTGAGCGAGTGAAGAGGCAAAAGAGACGAAAAAGAATGAACGATAACAAGAAAAATCAGAAAAGGGAATGGGTGGTACGGGATGTCACACGCCATATTACGCTGACTAGCCGCCTGGGTTGTCGCCTACAAAGCCTGTTTTGTCGCCGCTGGCACGGACTGTTTTTTTGGCGCCGCCGCTTCGACCATCCCCCCTCCCCACTCCTCACCCTTCCCCGTGCATCTGCGTCATTTCTGGGTTACTGCAGGTAGATCAAATGACCCCTTGTATCACGGTGGTTGCATATGCAACTGATGTCGAGGGTGCTGTTGCCCGGCTATGCCGAAGTTTCGGTTTGCGATTATGGTAAATAACATGATTGCACAAAAAAAATTTTGGTTTTCATGACACAAACGGTTTAGGGTTGTCTTGGAGCACTTTTCACGTTTATATGACCCACTATCTCAAAACTTCCCAAATCAAGCGGAGTTGCCCTTTAAGAAAAGAAGGAAGGTCACTGCACCCTATGTTATGGGGTCATGTGTGTTTGCCTTTATTTTCTACAAATAATATCAATCTACACGGATGTAGCTCTGGTGAAAATGACAATAAAAAGCCGAGTACAAGGAAGTCACTAAAAATAATTGGTCATGACAACTGAAATCAGCCTTCACAAAATTACAGAAATCTCCCGACGCACTTCACACAAGCAAGTATTTCAAGGCTAGCAAAAGACTGCAGAGCCAATGAGGTGTCTCAGTACACTCAACGAATGAGCCAACTGTCGAAAAGAAACACATACCAACACCCTCGTTTCTGGAATGCAGAAGATCTGTGAGCGGAGCCGTGGCACCGTCTGCCTCAATCATTTCGGCTCCCTCTTTGTCAGCAGCCAGCTCACACAGGACTCCGGCAGCCACACGTTGAATGTTCTCGATGTCACTGTAGAGGAGCTGAAATCCAAAACGCATTACATCCTTCATTTCTTATCACAGAAACCCCACAAACTGTTGCTCTCTGCTTCTCAAAACTGAGAGGAAGCGCACAGTACTGTGCAACAACACAAAATCAGCCGAGAGACGGGACAGTGACTATCAACGTGTTGGGCTAATATTAAAGGCGCCGTGAAACGAAGCTTGGGCTGGTACAAATGAATTTAGATGGGGATGTTACTAACCTTGTATCGCTTAGTGGGCCAAAAGAAAGAGGGTAGAAAACCAAAAGCCTGCTTTTGGGTACAAAAATTTGAACATAGCAGACTATTTCATCCCTCCTTTCCTTCGAAAGCTCTCCTCCTTTTCACTGTGATAAAACCGCAGTACCCAAAGCACGTCAGCCGGTCCCAGCTCACGCACTGGACATGAGCACTGCATCACTATACTATCTCCCCATTATGCGCAACTCCAGCACTTCACTCGCCCTCTCGTGGAGCACCAGAGGAGCGGGGATGGCGGTGGAGATGGTGGCAGGGACTATGGGCCCTGGTGCTGCTGTTACCACATAATTCTGGTCAGCGTGTTCGTGCATTATGCAGTTTTAACGGAAAAAAATGAGTGCGTTAAAATAGGAATGATTGTGTTCCGCTACGCAATTATGAGGTCAACATGCTCCTGTTCTTAATGCAAGTCAACATCTTCGTCATCTGTGGTATGCTCCTGCCCAGACCACATCGTATTAGTAGCCAAATAGATTAATTTTAGCCCACTGACCAGCGTCAGCAAGCAGGTGCACAGGAAAACCTCGAGAATCTATCCCCGTCTCTTCAACCATCTTGGCACTACCACTCCGCTGTCTATAGGGCGTTCCGAGCTGCGAATGCTCCGTTCACCCCTAAGCGGACAGTGCAATGGGAGCTACATGCTTGCAGGACCAATCAGCCACCCCCTTTCATCACTTGACCCCAATCTCTGCACATGGGTATGCGCAAGGGAGTGTGATCACGTGGCAAAAGATAAAAGTGGGACTATCCCAACAAGCACATAGCTTCCACAGCACTGTCAGCTTAGGGGTGAGTGGAAGCAGGAGTGGATTTAGAGGGGGGGGTCTGGATGACCTGACCCCCCTCTTGATTTCTGTATGTGTAAAATATAGGGCGTAAAACGAAGGAGGGGGGTTCCTAAACATGACCAACACCTGACCCCCCCCTCAAGAAATTCCTGCACCCGCCCCTGAGTGGAAGATAGTTGTGCACAGTACTGTGGAAGCCACGGGCGGGAGAGGAGGGAGATCAACTTTTGTCAAAATTTTGAGCTAATCTTCTGGGTGGAGAATGGCGACGTGTGGGTGCACAAAGGAAGGTCCCAGGAAGAGGGGACTTCCTCCTTTCCCTTCTCTTGAAATGAAAACAGTATACTCTTGCCCCTGTACCTTTGGCAACGCTGCACAATTTGTGAGTTGAGGCGGAAAGCCAAGAGGGAAGAAGTTGAAAAATCATTCCATGGCCCCCTTAACAGTGCCAAACAGTGAACAAATGTCAGCACACAAGGTTCTTTGCAGATGCACTCCCCAGAGTGTCTGACGATATGCATTCTCGCGTACGACTTTAGGCCTGAGTCACAGTAGGGCAGCCCACCTGCACAAACACTGGAATGACGTTGAGCCCGCGGATGATGGCCCGGTTGTGTGCCTCGCGGGCCAAGATATGCAGCGCCCCAACTGTTCCCTCGACAATCTCCTCCATGCGCACTCCATCCGAGTAAGCTCCTTGTTGGCTGCCGTTGGAAGCAACGCTGGAGCGTTGCTGAAATGCACAACAGAAAAAAAAGAGTCAAGGACAGCCACAGTCTCCAATTACCAAACATCATGTCAGGGGAAAGCCCCTCCCTCAGTTACTTACCCAAACAACTTTCAAATCTAAAAAGATTTTGAGGCCCGCACTTGCTTCTTATAGCAATTTCCGCGTCAATACATGGTCTACATGCTGTTGTCGTTAGAACATAAAGACGAACATAATCCGGGTGGCCCAGACAACTTGACTGTTTTCCCCATGTTCATGTTGGAACAAAACAAATAAATCTGACAACCACAAGTCCCCAGGAGTTCAAGCTAAGGAGCTTCCAACACAAGCAACCATGGTCCTATGGCGGCTAGCTTGTCTTTTTTATGGCACTTATCCATGTTCTCGGACAAACTGGACAGGCTGAAAACATGTGAAAACTGATCTCAAAACCTTTCATGGCTTTTAGTGCAGCCCCAGTTGCGGCGTTTTGACGAGAAGGCAGGTTTTATTCTTTTTTTTCGAAACGACAGAGCAATGCCCGGCCCGCATCAAATCTTCTGCCCACACCCTACACCTGAAGTGTGTCTGAAGCGCTGCTGCCACAGCGTTACGTAGGGGAGTTGAGTTAGTGTATAGTATACAACTGCCATCGCACTGACCCAGGTTCAAGCCCCGCAGGGGCTCGAACTTTAAATAGAACCTCAACATCTCGAACGCTCCAAGCGTGTGACTCGATCATGACGATTTTCCCATAGAAAGACTCATAAAACACATTCTAAGATTCAAAGTGTGAACAGTGCAGATTGATTGATTTCTGAAGTTTAAGTTTGATTTTTATAAATTTATGTTTGTAAAGGGATCCTGAACCGAAATTTGATTTTACAAAATAAGGCCGCAGAAGCGTTGAACAAGATGCTGCGAGCTCCAAAACATCACTCGTAAGTCCATCTCAAATGGATGGCCATATTTTTGGAAAAGAATGGCGCAATCAATCAAGGACTATGGCGTCACGATTAAAGATGGCGCAGTCTTTTTGCGAACTTGAGGTTCGAAGATAGAACCAAGTGGTTCGAAAAGGTTTGCAAAGTTTCGAAATGTCAAACTTCTTACATAAAAAATTCAATGATTTTAGAACTTCCGAATTTCTTGCGCTGAGAAATTCGATTTCTTTTTAACTTTCAGTTTATCCCCATAGGTTCAGGGCTATCGGAGTTGCAACCCATGGACCAGGGAATTATAAAAAATGTAAAGGTGTTGTACAGAAAACATCTCGAGCAGATGATATTGTGCATGGATAACTCCACTCGGTACAAGGTAAGCCTTCTTAGTGCCATCCACATGATAGCGTGAGCCTGGGGTCGCGTTATACAAGAAACCGTTGCCAACTGCTTCAGGGCCTGTGGTTTCATAGCAAGTGCTTCAGGGGGTGATTCGTCTTGTCCAACTGAGGAAGCAGAGACAAGTGAGCTTGACGACAATGGATTTGCAGAAGCTCTTGGCGACGTCCGTTTCAAAGAGCATGTTGCCGTGGACAGCACAGTGGAAACAAGTGGTGCGGTGACGGACATTGAAATCATTGAGATTGTTCGGCCACGCGAGGCTAGCAACGAATCTGACATCGACGACGACGTTGAAACTGAGCCGCAATCGCCGGCTGCTGATGTAGCTGTGGGCCTTTCCCTCGCGCAGCAGTTTTTTGTAGCAGAGAACAATGCTGAAGAAGCACTCGGGCACATCTACAGTCTGCAGAGCTTACTTTCCGCAGCAAGATTCTGCAAGAAGAAGCAGACGGCAATCACCGATTTTTTTTCATGAACAGTCAGTTTTGAAACTAATAAAAATTATCCTTTTTGTTCCTTGTAGTTAATTGGAAGTTTGTTTAATTCACAGTTTCTCGCGATCTCCGTGAACTTCATATTAACGGGAATCGACTGTATTTAGTTGTGTGGCAGCACTGCATTCAGGCGACGCTTGATAGGATCGCTACTAGTTCGCAAAGTAGCAAGTATGTTCACCTGACCGCCCAGGGCTTTTCGATGAAACGTTCAACCAATTTTACGCTCGTTTCGTAAGTTACGACAAATTACAAGTTATACAAGTAGTACTGCCAGTACCACAGAACTGAGAAGGAAGGAGTATATATTCACGGCGTAAAATAAATGGGCCAACATTTAGTGAAATTTTTTCGCCCTTCTAGGTGATTTTATGAAAACTTAGTGTGAAACTGCGGAATTTGGTCTCTATCTGTGAAATTCAGACTTCGAACTAGAATTAAAAACTTTGTAACCTTTTCTAACTTGTACAGTGTAGATAGACCGCATATAACGTATGTCACGGGAGTCGCGAAAATCCGCACTATAAGCGGTATGTACCGCATTATAACCAAAACATCAATTTTTCAGGCCAAAATACATCCCATGAGACAACTTACCTTTGTAAAACAATTTATTTTATGTTACATGAAAAATAAAGCTTAGTTTGAGGAAAGTATTTATTTCACCAGACTAGTACACTTCTCTCTCAAGTGCGTCCCACATTTTGAAAGAAATGAGTGACTTTTGCCTGGCGCAGCCTTTTAAAGCGTCGTGGGTTGCGGACGGACGTTGCGAGCGTTCAGGATTGCTAACCCTAATCACTTTTCTCCTGTGATGAAAACGCGTGAAAATTCGCATCCTTTATACGGTACGCGCCAGTAATACCTTCAACTTGAGCACAGGCATGAAATGCTCCAAATAAGGAATCCGGGCGATGTTCGAAAACACAAATGCTTAGAAAGCACCACTGAAGTCAAAGTAAAATAACACGACGACATGGGCATTTCTGCAGTCTTGAGAGTGCCGCCACGACATCGCCGCACGAATAGGTGGATCTTCCCTTCTAGTATGTGTGGGTTATCATAACGCCACACAACGAAAATTCACAGTCAAGGATAGCGCTTTTACGCGGAACGATAAGCTTCCGATATAAGAATGATAAGTCGACGATCAAAACAGACGCCATGTTTGCGGACAGAAGCAGCCGGCCGGCCGGCCCGCGACCGGCATGCAACGCACGTGAACACTTCTCCTCGACCTGCGATTCGACCAACCTTTCCGACGTTTCCAATGCAGCGGAGGGACGCACGCACGTGAACGACACGTGCGTGCGTCCCTCCGTCAATATGGCAACTGAAGCCTCTCTCTTCGCTTCTTTGAGCAACCTCCTTGCACCGCGAGTGCTGCTTGCGGCTTGCGCCGTTATCTAGTGTCGCACAGGGAAGCGTGCTCTCTGCGTCGGTCAGTCGGCGCGGTCGCCGGGCTGTTCTGAAAACCGCACTATAACCGGCATTTCCCTTCGCGCGCCTGCATTTTAAAGGCCGCTGTACAAACGGGACGTTCTGCAGGGAAGAACCTTCTCTCCCGAAGCTGGGGGACGGGGAGGGAGAGGGCCAGCATAGATGGAAAGAGCGTCTGGAGAATGGGATTAGTCTCGGGGCGAGCCATCCTCTCGAGAGGGAATGGGGACGGAACAAAGCTGCCGTGGGTGTTCCGGCTTCCAGGTGGAAGAAAGAAAAGCTTGTCAAGCGGAACGGCGACCTCGGATGCGAGGACGGCCACGTCAGAGAATTTGAAAATAGCTGCTTGATTAGCTGGACGACCCAGTGCGGTCTACTGGCTCTAGAAGGTGACTCGGATGAAGAAAACTCGTTTTGCTCCAAAACTTTAAAAGCATTCTGGAACGTGAACTCTTGCCACAAATAAAAATAACACATGCATGAAACACTACGAAGGCACCTAAGCTTTCGCCTATGATGCGAGAATGCGTGAGCATTACAGGCAGAGTTATGTTGGCGCAACTTACAATAAAGAAATAAAAAAAAAAGTTATGTTGGCGCAACGGATATCGCGCTAGTTCAACGATCAAGATGGCCTAGCTTCAAAACCGGGCAGGGGATGGTTTTTTTCTTGTGTTCTTTTTTATTTCGTTTATTTTTTTTTTGTTCCGTCACGTGACAAGAACAATCACATGAACAGACATCTTTTTTGGCCACGTCACCAGAGATTTCTTTTCTTATTTCCCATTTTCTTGTCTTTTTTTTTTTCTTTTGGTTTACGCTCCCTTTAGAAAACTCTTTGCACCTATTTCGCGTTCTTTGGCATCAGCCAAACCATTTTATTTATGGCAGGGAATTCTGCCGTACGTATCTTATGTTACTATTACCAACCCTGGCTTGCAATTCGCATAGAGAATTTCGTCCGGCAACCAGTTTGGGAATGACGAGGCCAAATTTGTGTTATATATATATATATATATATATATATATATATATATATATATATATATATATATATAGAAATGTAGGATACTCTCCTACATTGGGTAGGTTTGCCCGGAGCCTCCAGTTATTTACGGCCAAAATCACACTGGAGCCGCTTCAGCAATGTTCACTCTGGTCGAAACACGTGCTCTCTAAAAATGCCTGTCGTCTACCTTCCCAAGAGATACTTGAAGAGCCAATCATAGAGACCGACGGATAACGAGGCCGGAAATATGCTTATACCTAAATATATATATATATAAGTATAAGCATAATTCCGGCCTCGTTATCCGTCGATCTCTATGATTGGCTCTTCAAGTATCTCTTGGGAAGGTAGACGACAGGCATTTTTAGAGAGCACGTGTTTCGACCAGAGTGAACATTGCTGAAGCGCCTCCAGTGTGATTTTGGCCGTAAATAACTGGAGGCTCCGGGCAAACCCACCCAATGTAGAAAAGTATCCTACATTTCTGGTTTCATAGAGAGCTATGAAAGCCAGAAGGGATGAACCCCAGATGAGTCAAACTACCGGCTTGCAGACGCAATCGTGTTGATAATAGCGCAAATGAGTTTGTATGACTCTCTCTGGTGGTGTGCAAAGGGTAAAGGCACGGAGTTAATATATGCTTTTGCCTAGTCACCTCGCGAACGGTTGCATGGGTATTCGCTGCAGTGATTCATTTCGCTTTGTTTTATTGCCGGGATTATATCTTGATTTCTGTGTTCCTAATTTCACAGACAGAACAAAATCGCTTTTCTCGTGTGGCGTCACGGTGGGGAGACAGAAATAAATTAGTGTACCGAAATTCTACGCTTGTGCTCGTTCTATAGCGGTTCTAAAAACCGTGCGATCACGGCTGTGCAACGTCACCATTTCATAAAGTGCCGTTTTTTGTACTCGTATTGCATCCTGAGGGAACGACTATGGCTGGGTAAACAGGAATAGGGAGAATGGGTGCGTGTGATTTGGTTGAAGTTCGAATCAACAAATCGAGCTTCAACGAATGCGACAGTATTGCATTCACCCAACCAGCTATATGAGTTTTCAGATGGAGTATTGGCGTCTCCAGCTCGACGCTCGCCCTCCCGCGGCGGAAACGGGAAGCGCTCTAGTGAGGGTCCCCCGATTTTCCTGCTCAGCGGGCATGGTGGAACTGCTCGCGATCATGGCTTGCAAATTGTCATTTCTGAATGCAAACAACACTCTTCACTGTCCTAACGTAGTGCTGAAGCCGGTATGGGATTGTACCTTACTGGAGAGTTTTAGTGTTGCTCGTAGAAGCAAACGCAAGCAGTATGTGGTTGCGTTAGAGTTGCGTGCTCCACGTTGTGTGTGCGTCTCATCACCATGCGCCATCCAAGACCACAGTTTTGGACTCCGCGCACGCGCGGTGTGGAACACGCAAAGCTAACGTAAACACACAGCGCTTGCGTTCGCTCGTATACGCAATACTAAAACTTACTACTGTTTGACCGGCTTCCAACGCCAACGAAACACGTGGTGCTGCAGTGAACAGAGGTGCAAGCAGGTAGCTGTTCGTTCAAACTGGAAAGGCTAAGATTGTCAAGACGACGGAGCGTAAAAATGAAAGTACCTAAACGTTATGAAAAAAGTGATAATTAAAAAAAATTCATTTATTTTTTGGGGGGCATTTTGTCTGGTTGAATATTGGCGCCGAGTTTGGACTTTTGCCCATTGTCAAAACTCACGACTTTGATAGCAAAATATATTTTACCCACAATTAATGTAATTTTACATGGATTTCTCACATTAGCTAGAATATTTTGATTGACTTTATATTCTTTTTATATTACTTAATAATTATAATCCTACAATTGGCACCAGTGATGGTTACTAGCCCACTTTTGTTTGTCATATGTGTTCGCGCGTTTGAAATTACATTAAAGCTCTTAATTTTATTATTAATATTATACAAATCGCGGCAATATATGCCAAGATCTAAAAAAATAAAACGCCATTTAACCATAATAGTCTTTGCAGAATGGTATATATATTTTTTTTAGTATATGAAAAAACTCTGACATCGTTATCAAGATAGACAAACAGTCAAACACTGGGTGTAATATAAAGTCATATGCGTCACGCGTTGCTATAAAAAAAACACACACACACACATTTCAGCTGTCTGACATGGATTTGATCTTTGGGTTGTTGCAGTGAGGACAGCGTTTGTTACTTTATACGTGTTGTGGACATATTGTAAAAATTGGAATTATTCTCTTATTCTTCTGCTGGGAATAATGTTAAACCAATTAATCATCTACATACCCAAAACCCATTAAAAGAGACGCAGTTCATAATTTCCCGTGACAATTATCTGAGCGAGCAAAGGCAGCGAGAACGCGCAAATATAAGCACTGATGTTTCCAACAACTCCAACAACTCCAACAACTACAAATATCAGCCTGGATCGAACATGTATGTCACAAAATAAAGTTTTCGCGAACAACGTCTCTAACTAAGTAATTACAATGCGAGACACATCTTGAGTTATGAAAGGATCCGAAATTAAGACCTATTTTAAGAAATTAAACCCAAAATAGATATTAGTTTCCGTTTAGCTCCAGAATTAAAATGCACATCCTTGCGTAAATATTACACTAAACACCGTTCTTTTTTTTCAGGGTAAGAAGGTGACCTGCGCTCACAACACCCTAGCTTCCTCGCATTACCAGAAATAATTTGTGTCGCTCAGTGAAGCCAGCACACTAGACAGGCTCAACAGCGGCCCGCATCTCCGACCCTCACTATAACCGCCATTTTGGAAAATTAGTGGCGCTACCTATAGCTAGTTGGAGTCGCAAATAGAACGGTCGATACCTTCCAAGTATGCGATTCGTGTTCTGCCAGTGGTACCTCAGCTAGACTAAAAAAACAAAATCCACTTAAAAAAAAAAAAAAAAAAAAAACTACGGTGATTTGAGCCGCTTCAGCGCCGAATCATGTTTCACGTAAGCGTAATCTTGGGTTTGATACACGACGAGGGGTCTTGAATCATAAAAATATTTTGATTTCGATTATGTGCAGTACTAAAAATTTGAGAGCCAAGCAGTGAAGACAACGGTGTTCTTATAAATATTATATACATTTTATTTTACACTGTTTGAATACGCTGCCGTCGTTATGTCCTTGAATTATTGGCTAGCTTGTGGCGGACAGGGAGGTCTTGCAGGACCATATGATAGGACCTACACTAAACCTGCCGCGCTTCGAAAAATGCTAGTCCAATGCATACAAGCTTGTTCAAGGCGGACAGAGCGTTGCGCATCCGGCAAAGCGCAATCAATCGCTGCCCGCGGCGTTTTTTTTTTTTTTTTTTTTTCGAGCAGCGAAATAAGTTTTAGTCAAGCAGTAGGCCCCCTCTTCGGCGGGTTAAGCCGGATTAACGGAGGCGTCTCCTAATCCATTCTCCGTGTTGGCTTTCCGGGGGTGGGCGGTAAACAGGTGGCGGAAGGCGGTGAAGGGAGGAAAGGAGGGCAGGAGAGAAGGAAACGTGAAAAAGTGGAAAGCGCGAACTGTAAGGCGGCCTTTAAGCGGTATGTAATTACATGAAGTTCTATGGGAGGCGAACCGGTGGTTTAAAAACGCCGCGTTATACCCAGTCCTGCACTATAAGCAATTACGTTGTAAGTGGTCTATACTGTATATAAAAAAATCTAAATCTTTTAACTTTTCAAACTTGAATCATTTGAAATGTTTGAAGCTTTCGAACAATCTGTAAAAAAATTCGAAATCCTTGAACTCAAAACTTTTAGAAAGCATGACATTTCTGATTTATTTGAATTCAAACATCAGCGGGGTCCTCAAGTTGCAAAATTTTCATTCAAACCTTAGAGAGATTCTAAATTTTCTATGCCTTTCATACTCAAACTTTGGGAGGTTCGTGACATCCCTAGTCACGATCCTCCTCCTCACCAGCTCAAGGGGATGAAGTGAAGAGGAGATGCAATGTAAAATCATTGTCTGTCGGCCGTATTCTATTGCGCCCTTCTTTTCTAAAAATATGGCCATCCGTTAGAGATATCGCTTTACGAGTGATGTTTTTGGGTGTTGCAGTGTCCCCGCCTATAGCTCAATCCTTGTTTTGTGAGCTCCAAATTTCGGTTCAGCATCCCTTTATTGTACTACTACAATAAATATCTCATTGCTGTTGGCTTTCACGGCAACGAAGCTCCTGCAACAACAACCTTTTTACGTGTCAATTTCATTGTAGCGGGAATCTGCAGTACGGACATCTTTAAGGCAGCACTGGGTTCGACGTCTGCAAGGTACTCCCAAAGAAAACATTTAACAGCACAATGCCATGCTGTGGAACGAGTGAGGCAAAGGTTATCTGTAAACGATGAAGAGACTGACCCTCTGCGTGTCCTGGTAGGACTTGTGCAGCAGCTGAACGAGCCGTGGGATAGCGCCATGCTCGCGCAGTGGGGCGTGGTTGGCCGGACAGAGGGCCAGGTTGCGGATAAGCCCGATCACTGCCTTGACCAGAGGCCAGCGGCTTGGGGGGTGAAGCAGCTTCACTATCACCTGCAGCCCATAGTTGAGCCGCACAGAGTTCTGGGCCATCTCTGCCTCTGGGTGCCGGCACGTCAGGTGCCGCAGCGCACACACCTGCAAAGTTGTACACGTCCCAACTCATTATATGCACACAGCAGGAGGCTGAAGCTTTATGGCGAGATAAGGATGATTTGCAGGTTATATTGCGGCTGGCTCAATTAGAGCAATAGCAAAGCACGAGACCATAATGTGAGCTATGGTGACCATCGTGCAGTAAGGAAGGGTGACTCACGGCGGGCTCGGTGATCTCCTCGCGGTCTCCCGCCTGGATGACGGTGCGCACGAGGGCTTCGATGCCTCCCACGTGGCACAGGGTCACCTTGTTGCGGTGGTTGTTGCAGGTCAGGTTCGAGAGAATCCCTGCGGCACAGGTGACCACGTTGATGTCCCCGCTGGCCAGCAGCTGCACCAGGCTGGCCAGCAGTGGCTCCAGGCTCTCCTGCTTGAGAGCCGCGTCAGACAGATTGCGCAGGGTCCAGAGGCAGTTCAGCACCAGGCGCTGACTCTGGTGGCCCAGGTGCATCGATGTCGCCTGCACCCCACCTGTAAAGAACCAGGGGCCGCCCATGGTGCACTCCTCCGGCAAAAATTCCCCACCCTTTCCCATACGAGTGAGCGGGATTTCTACACTCATGTGGTTAATTGCATCGCAACCTAGGAGACCACCGAACAGGCTTTCCTTGCACTGCAAGAGGGGGGGGGGGGTTCTAACTTCGAAAAGAGGCGCCCATTCCACCAGCAGGAACCTTAGCAGCTTGGAAAGAAAGCTCTCTGACTGCTCAACGAACCAACTAAGCTTTTTACACAACACTACAAGAATTGAAGAGAGAAAACTGCACATACAGCATGACAGAAACAACAAACATGTTCCAGGTCTGCACTTTTCCATTATTCTAGCGTATTACTGCGACTGCGAACTCATTTCATAACAATTAACATTTATATATAAAAAAAAGGTCCCTGTTATGCACAATAAAATAGATATTCAACTACTTATTCCCTCTATGCCACTTGACAATCAACAACAGACACTGGTATGCTCTGTAACTGTGATGGGTACCAGTTGCTCGGCTTCACTGAATAAATTTATCGCATATTGAGTATACCCACCAGACTGCAACATTGGCAAATAATATATAAAGTTTCTGGCACGTGCATGTTGCATACGGCCGACTACAGCAAGGCTTCTCAAAACAGCTAATGACCTTGAATGCATATGTCAATCTGCACCTACTGCATTAGTTAAATTAAAAACAACTAGAAAACTAGGGGAGAGTGGGAGGACTGGGACATCTTTTACATTATATTTTTTGTGTAGTTTAATGGGCACATAGAACCAAGTTTAATGGTCCTAAATGTAGGGGGGAAGACCCTTCACATCAGCTAAACAGAATTTTGTCCTAACACTTCTACAAATGTGAAAGAAACAAGAAATTGCAAGAAAAAGATATATCCCATTTCACCCTTCCCCCCAGAGAGGAATGGGACACACGCAAGGTTGCGATAAAAATTGTACTAGAGCACGTATAGGTGGACGGGTCTTTAGCAGCCATAAAGCCCGATGGCAGTCTTTTTTCCTCCGATTGTTTGTAGTTTTGGACCGGGGATTGAGTGCAGTAACATTTTACACAAAACAAATAATTGGTGGCCTAAATGCAATATGAGCTAAAATTGGATGATTCACCACTATTACTTGTGAACTTTACCATAATATCCCGAGAGGTAGCCCGCCTAAGATCAAGAGCAAATCAGGTGAAAATATGGAGTAAGCTAACTTGTAATAAACAAAAAAAAAAAAAAAAAAAAAAAAAAGTTGAAAAAATGTTGATTTTAAGGTTATGTGTCCCTTCCAAGCTTGTTATCATGGTGAGGGGCATTGAAGCAAAGATGACTGGACTTTCCAGTCAGCAACGTTCCCTTATATCCCGCCATAGCTAACTACCGTAAAATACCGGGCAAGCGCCCACTCAAACTTTGGAGATAATTGCAAAACAATGGGGGATAGGCGCTTGTCCGGTCATCAATTTTACTATAAATGTACCGTGTGTATTTTCTCAAATCTTACAAATTTGGGAATGGGCGCTTATTGTGGAATGAGCGGATGTGCGGTATTCTACGGTAGTCGCATTTACCCTGAGGCCATCATTGATCCTAACATTGCTATTACTAGGAGTGGGCTATCGTTTGGTTTTAAAAAAATATAACAAATCAAGCCAAAATAGTGGTGGGCTATCTTTGGGGGGCTGGGGCATCTCTATGGACTTTACGGTAATGTTAATCTACCAGTCAGAGCACAAATTTTTATAAAGGAAGGACTAAGATTCTGTCCCATTCCTCCCAAACTGCTTTGCATAAGGTAAGTTGCCATGTGTGGCAAAAGGGAAAATGTTAAGCTTAAAAATAGTGGTGGTTAAGGGGGGACTAAACTTCTGTACCACTTGCTTGATTTCAGTCAAGTTTACAGTGGAAGTTTATATGAGTGGCAAGCCCATCCCTGCCAAATTTCATAGTCCTATGTCAATTCTGAAACTTGTTACGAATGTTACCATATGGAAGTCAGTGTGTTCGCTTAAAAAAATACTGTGTAAAAATCAAATAAAAATTTGCAATTTTTACGTGCAATATAGTCATAGGAATATCCATAGCACATACCCAGCTAGTTACCTTGCTATATTGCATTGTTTTTCATAAGTATAACTCCATAAGATTACTTTTTTTTTTCATGTTTGAGCTTTTTACAAATGTAGTTTTTCAGCATAAAAGAATGTTAAAGTAGAAATACTAACCAGCCAGGCATGTTCCTCACAAACTTCTATACCAGAAAACCACCTAAGAATAATTCTCTATTGTGTAATAGGAAAACGATAGTTTTCCTAAAGTGAAATCTATGCCGAAAAGTGGAATGGAGAAAACTGCATTCAAAGTGCTCCAAACCCCTACCTTTTCTTTAGCATGGACCGAAAATAATTTATAAATTTACAGTGGACCGAAAATAATTTATAAAAAATTAACTATAGAGTGTAAACTAATGAAACTTTCTGGGAATACTCTCGGCATTTTTTCAAAATCAACTTTTTTTGTAGAAATTGTTTTTTTTTCTGCGTAGTGTCACCCTAAAAGCAACCTATTAAAAGGTCCCTGAAAAAGAAAAAAAAAATAAGTTTTTTTAATCAGTCTGGTTGGGACAGGCGTGTCAAAAAAATTAATTTTACGCGAAAAAACTTTTTTTAGGGCAATATTGTTGGCGAGATTTATTTGAAATTCTGCGCACAAAGTCTATGACGTTACGAGTCATTCCGGAATGATCATCTTGGTCGTGAAGGCGAAGCCGATCCACCGCTCCTCCACGCGCCCGAAATGCCGAGAGAAAACGGGTGGAAAGGAGGTGACTGCCGACTAAATCGTGTCTCACGCCGTCAATATTGATCTAAAAATGTTTTTTCCGCATCAAATTTATTTTCTGACTGCGTGTCCCAATTAGACTGTTTAAAAATAACATTTTTCTTTTCTTTTCAGGGGTTCTTTAACATATCTTTACAATGTTAGTTTACTACAGCAGTAGGCCAAACCGTTTTGGTTCAAGAATCGAGCGGGACGAATGTGTGCTACTTACATTTGAATGCCAAAACGGCACCTACTGCCTCAAATTGTGAACACCACACAAAGCAGGTACGCCATTACAGTTGAAAGTACCAATATAACGGTGTCATCAATCTTGTAGTTCATCAACTTTTGTAACTATTCACTGAAGAAATATTTAGACTGTTTCACTCCTCCCACTGTCCCAATTCCTCCCCACTACCGGCACTTTAAATGAACAAATAAAAAATAATAAAAAATTCACCTGCTTCAACAATAGCCGGCTTGTTGCTTGAACACACGGACAGCACCTTGAGCACCCTTGACGTGGTCCAAAGTAGTTTTTCATATGTGTAAGAGCGCATGATGCGCACCAACTCTGCCGGTCCACCGCTGGCCAGAATGATCAGCTGTGTTCAAAAACAACACATGCATGTGAGTTTGTCGTGAAGTGAAAGGCTGGAGGTGTTAAAGGGCTAATTCCCCTTTCAACTTGCTTGAGAAAGAGCAAATAGGGTAACATGTGTACAGTTCAACAATGCAAAGTTTTGTAGAGGAAAAGTATAGAATTTGACAAAAAAAAAAAGATAAAGTTGAGACAAAGACTACAGCCAGTAATTGCATAAGCGGCTATTCCACCTTGCTTTCTTGGTTCCCGTAGGCCAAGATCTGCAAGCAGTCGGTGACAATGGCCAGAAACTTGACATTGTTCCTCTGCAGGAGGGACACCATCTTCTGGAGGCCGCCAGCAAGGCGGACTGCCATCTTGGAGCCCTCTTGGTGCAGCAGCAAGTTGTGCAAGGTGGTGATCGCGTAGAACAGCACTGACTCAACCGGTGAGCTGCACCCAAGCACAAGCAAGACATTTAGCACAGATCCAGAACTCAAAGCGAGAACTCTAGGACCAAGAGCAGTTATTTTTAACCCAGGCCCCCTGAACGTCACAACACATGACACATCGCTTTCCAAGTTCTCCTATTCCTGAGAGAAAATAAACTGTCATCATGCTTTTGGAAATAGTGATCCAACTGCTTCCTTGAGGTCATCATCATCAAGAAAGCGGTGTTCTCGAAGGTTTTTCTTTCAAGTGTCGAAACAAAGAAATCAATGGGGGCAAGGTCCGGAAAATAAGTTGGATGGTTAGCAACTTCAAACCCGCATTCCAGTACAGTGTCTTGTGCACCGTGGGGCGTGTACACTGTAAAAGCAGCTCTCATCAGCCTTCATCAATGCTAACATTTCGCGACAACGATTCCAATCGATTCTTCATTTCAGGTGTCAGTCAACATTTTAGGAACCCAATGTGCACAGCATGAGACATACCCAAATGTTAGTGAAAGATTGTTTCCACGGACCCAGCACTAATGCCGAAATCTGTAGCAACCTGGAGAATCACAACACGCCTATTCATCATGACCGCCTTTTACTCTTACACACATTTTCGCAGTGGGGCCTCCAACTAGGCAACCGGCCCGTGGGTCTTCTTCCAAAGACTCCCTGCTGTGCTCAAACAAAGCTGCCCACCTTTCGACGGAGCACTGTCCCCATGCTCTCTCTTCATGAGCTCACAAATACTTGCCGGCACTGTTCTCCCTTTCACCAAAACTTAGATCGCGGCACGGTGCTTGATGCTATCCTTTGCTTCAGTCATTGCCACCTGGCAAACTTTAATGTAGAGCGAAGCAAGACCAACCAAGAGTGGAGAACGATGCAATGTGCAACTGCAGTCTCGATGGTGATGCCATGTGCACACCACATTTTAATATTGTCAATCTATTGCATCATACTTAACCTTAGAAGTTATTGAACACCCCTCATAATTCACTTAACAATAGAACACAAGAAAGCTCCCACAATCTTTTAAAATGCCAAAATAATGAAGCAGAACTCGGGCCAGAGAAAGGGCAGCCAAAGAAGGGACAGAAGTTAGACGACACACGTGAGCGACGTTCTGCAACACCAAAAACAACTGCCGTCTGCTACAACTCCTAACAGACTAGCAAGTTCTTTTTTGTCAGTGATTGTGGTCTGGTTTTGGTGTTTATGGTGCCGAAAATAGTTGAGTTGTCGTTTGTTACCGGAACTTCACACCCAAGTACACTGCACAACCCCACTAACAGGAATGTTTGACCAGTGGCCAGCAAGATTTTGCTTGCACATCAAAGAGGTCAACTGCTACAACTACTGGTATATAAAGAATGCGACGTCCTACATCAATGTGTGCACAAACTTTAGGTTTCTTACGATAAGACTGATGAGAAAACGGCAAGAACTGATCTCACACTCGTAGGATTAGTGTAACTGCGTGCACAGTCTCCTACAATAAGAAAGACCCATTTGACAAGGCAGCTTCAGGTGGCAGTGCAAGAGTTGCTTTGGTCAGGCCCTCATGCATGGGATGAGGAAACAAACCTTTCTTCTATGCCATCTCCAAAAAAGAAGTGCCCCTGGCCAAGGTGTGCCAAGCACTGCTGCGTAAACTACCTCGGCAAAAGAGTCTTTCACAATGGTGGAGACTGTACCTTTTGGACATCCGAGTGGTAACAGCACTAGCTGCAAGCCAAGCTGCTCGTAACACCCCCAGGAATCTATGAAGATGACATGGCACAACGAAACAGTGTGGTGAGGCAGTGCTCACCTGAGTAGCTTGACCAGAGCCGGAATTCCTCCAGATTTGAAGATGGCTAATAAACCTTGGCGGTGATGGGACAGGTTGTGCAAGGTCCCGGCAGCGCATCGAGTGGTCTCCAGGTCGTTTGACGTCGACATGGCCCTTACCAAGGCCGCTACCATCTGCGGAGAATTCATGATAGCGTGGCGAGAGGCCTCTTTCTTCGACAGCTGGTGGACCATCATCGCTGCCTGACTAACGACAACTTGGTCTTCATCGTTCAGCAATTTTATTAGCTCTGGGATAGCTCGGGTAGCCAAGTCAGCATCGTCCTGGAAGACAAATCACCATCACATAAAACATGCGCAATTATAGAAGAAAAAGATTGCAATGTATTTTAGTTTCAAATGGCTCTGCTGCACGAGCACGCCATACCAGCAAGGGTCTCAATCTGTTTTTATAATCCTTAGACAAATGGTAAACAATTCCTAAAACTGCTGCTGGCTTCGGTGATTTAGAATTTACCACAGCAACTCGTGTATCACTGGCTTTGGATACGAATAGGCCAATATCTGGGATGCTCTCTTCTTCTCAATGTGGTATTCAGACATGACAAAGTTGTGCTCCCTCTTCGCTTTTGCATTCCAGTTTAGTCAAGAATCCTTCCCATGGTTTTCAAACATGTGCTACCAAACCGGACAAGGAGAGGGGGGGGGGGGGGGGGGGTGAGGGGACTTGCCTGGTAGTTGATGAGGTTGACGACAGCATGCTTCAGCATCTGCGACGGCTCGGACAGACGCTGCACTGCCGTGGGCTGTGCTGGGTCATACTGAGTCGACGGGATCTCGATTCCTTCGTCCAGTGTTTCGGGAAACATTGCGGCGCGCACCCTCTGCGATCGAGTCTGGCTCAGCTGTTGGTTCATCTCTGCACATCAATCAAGTCAAATATAAGCAAAGTTGTACCATGATGAAAGCCCAGAAACCTCGATGCACTCACGGCTGAATTTAACCCATGGATACAAAAAAAAATTTAACATGCTGCAGTACTCAAATCAAATCTTTGGTAAGGGTAAACAAACAGGCAAGTTGGCAGAAATCTATCACCCTAAACCAAAGCCTGAAGAAAAAACAAAACAGTAAACAAACAAGCTTTCAGCTTTTTACATTTGTGCCACACCCACCTCGGACCCCCGAGGTGAAATTTTAGGCACGCGGTTTTATTTCAACCAGCCAACTTATGCACATCTCGGAGTTACATACACAGCTTCAAGGGGCGGTGCAACAATATTAATGCTGCAAGTATCTACAGTGCGTTACTTTTAGTTTGTTTAGCCTAGCCCATGCAAAAGAAGACATTGACTCTTCCAGAATACCGCGATTCCACTGTGTAGTCGCATAGCAAAAACCTAAGTATTTCCTGACCTGCGGCCATGGAAACCACGGCATGACGTCGTCATGAGTGCACTGTGGTGAATTAGCAAGTTGTGCAATTATCTGACAAATTTAAAGCTAGGTTTTATAAATCTTGTTGTCTAAACAAGATTAAATCTGTCTTTAATCACTTTTAAGAACCATTTGATGGAGTGCACATGGCGCCATCTACCCGAAGTCAATGAAACCATCCCATCACCACTGCTTTCTTGAGAAAAGGCAAAAGTGTGTGGCAACGCTAATGTTTTCTTGCTCGCCCGAGATCGGCTACTTGCTGCTACCATCAGCGATGACGACTGGTTGTGGCACTCTGACATGATCGAACCGGAGCTTAAAAAGTGCTGCGATTCGAGGCGAAAACCTCAAGACTGCTACCGGAGAATGAAGAAAGTTTACGAGTATGTTCGAGAAACAAACCAGAAGCTCTCCGTTCTGGTCACGCCACTGCGCATGCGACTTGGAAGATGGTGTAAAAGTTGAGGAGTACCACAGAATTTAATGTTTCTTTTTAAGTGAACACTAGAGCATGCAAGCAAAATTAGTTTCATTATCTTCAATATTTAAGCAACAAAGACTAATCCCCTCAACTGATGGGCCACAGTCCAAAAGTTGTTGCACAGCTCCTTTTAAGCAATATTTGGATTAAAAAAAAAAAAAAAAAAAGCAGGGATGCAGCCGAGTAGCTGCATAATTTAATTTGAAAAACACCTCAGATTTCAGCCAGGTCGACCTTTCTCCAGAGAAAAAGTAATTGTTTAGTACGTAGAAAAAAAATAATGCAGCTTCAATCGCATTCGTCATGGTCAAACTTAAACACGGGTCTTAGCAATCTTACCATCTACTTGGTCAGGTGTAAAGCCTTGGCCAAAGCCAGGCTGCTCCCAGTCAAAAACCATTTGTTCATCCCCCAAGTCATCCTCCTTGCCAGTTATGGAAGGTGCCTAAGGAGGAATGAAGGACAAGAGATAAGTCATTGTCTAGACATATATACTGAAATCACTGTAGTTTAACAGCAAATCCTCCTAAATGTGTGAAGTACCACATGTGACGCTATATAATAATTCAAGTTATGCACTGCTGCATCAAATTAAATAAAAAAAGTTTCTGAATCCTAAAAAGAAAATCGTAAGAGTAACTCCCAAAAGTGGAGCAAGAGTGTCTGTCCATCCAGCATAATCAAATGGGTCTGCCTGAGCATCAACAAACACCATGAAAGCAGAACCTAAATTTGAGGCGACTGCCACATAGAAAGTTTAAAGAATCAGTTCCCCTCAGCTCAAAGGGAAATAAAAAAGCTTTTTTTCATTTTGATCTATCAAGTTTCTTATTTCAAAGATTAATATTTGAGCCATAATCACTTTAAAATATCTATGTGGACTGAAATTGCACTCAACCTGATGCTAAAACAACTTGCCCAAAACACAAATTTTGGATTCCTTACAAGTTTTCACGAGCGTTATCTCAACATCTAGGGCAGACAGAAATATAACTTGTTTAGCAACATGTAGCTAAACGTGCAAAGCATACAATGCTGGAAACAGATTTCTTAATATAGGTGTAGGAACATTTTTATCTGAACTGTTGTTTTTTTTGCTTGGTAGCCACATTGGAGCACTGAACTTCAACGAAATTGTAAAGTCACTAATAATGGATCAATCTAAAAAGTGCTTCCAACATTGTATTCTTCATAATTTGTAGAAGCTGACCATATGTTAAAGCATCTTTTTAAAAATGTTTTTTCACTGTTGTTTTTGGAAACAAAGTCTGGTTAATTATAATTATCATGAGAACTAACCAAAATTAAGAGAACGCTCCAAGACCAGTGGTCCCCCTTAAGGGAGAACATTACCCAGGAAGGCCCGCTTTTGAACCCCTAGCTTAAAATGATTTAAATTAAGTGTAGACTGCTCTAGCCATCATAAATGGTGCAGACAGGTTTCAATTCTGTACATTAATTCTGAAGGAAATTATGACAGTTCCCATCGCGACATACCAATACTACTTAGTGAATTTGTCATTAAAAAATAATAAAATGTTCAGCTTTTTTTTTCTTTTTTCTCTTGCCATTTAACATTAACCTACCCTTCTATCCTATTTCCTCCCTATCCCCCAGTCTCCAACCTCACTCATGGACGGACTGCTTTAGTCCACCAACCAATGCCCTTATTCTCCTGCCGACACATTCAGCACATGAAAAACTTCTTGGGTGAGGACTGCTAGGTGACCAAATACAACCGAGCATCAGGCCTTGGCGTATAAATAAATAAAGTTTCTTTCTCTTGCCAGATACGAAGCCGAATGTCAGAGAGTGCGACAGTGAAAAGAATTTTTTTTTAAAAAGCAGTTCGTTTTCATCAGATTATTCTGTAAAATCAAGAAGAAAAAACATTTCTGCAGGCTCTTTTCTCATTTAATTTCAGTCAGGAAAAACAAAGATTGAGCCTTTCCTTCATTCCTGTTATAAAGCAAGAGATTGGAAAAAAAAAAAAACTGACGAAAATGCATTTCTGCTGTCCAGATCTTCTCTTATATATAGCAGCAATGCATTGAAAATTGATAAAAAATTTTAGAAATATTCTTCAGATGTTGGTGGGCCTAAATATAACATTGTCCAAAATCAATGTTCTTTTTGCATAAACTCCAGACACAAATGGTACGGAGCAGAAAAAGAAAAAAATTGAAGTGGAATACGAGAAAAGAGGGCAACGGAGAGCTGGATATTCACAACAGACTTTAGAATGGCCCTATCCAATGACCATAGAGCTTGAAGGATGCCTGGCTCAGCTCATGAGCTGCCTGCTATCACCTCACAAAAAGTATCAGGACTGTGTGCATATGCTAGAATGGTATGAGCATGTATGTCTGTTACAATCCAAACTATCGACAGTAGAAACCAACTTTTAGAAGCGATCGAAAGCCATGAAACATGTGAAGAGTGCAGCCTCAAAATCTCATGGAATGCATAGAACACTAAATGGGATTGAAATGACCCCAAGAAAATCGTGAAAACGTTTGCATTATTGCAAAACCATCTGTTGGAAAACTAGAGGCTGGTTCACACACTTGCGCCTGACTGCGACCGACTGCACTACAACCAGTTAAACCGCTTGCAACTGCTTATAACTGGCAGTGCAGTAATGTATGTACAGCCCTCAAATAAAAGGCACCGAATTGCACAAATTCTTACGCAATGAAAGATGCATGCACACGGGCAAACAATCAGTAGCTCCACCTTGTAAGTGACCTGTTCAAAGAATGATGTAGAACCTGAAGAGCTTTCCTTGGCAGAAGGGTAGTAAATGAGGTATTCGCGCGATTTACTACCCTCTCCTGCCAAATATCTACACTCGTCAACAGTGACCAAAAAAACAAAACCCAAAGCTAAAACTGCCGTCCCTTGCCGTGCCGGCTGCTGGCGTCCACAAAAGCTCAACACAGAGTACCAGCGGAGGTAGGTGCATACCGTGCATCATTTGCTTCTGCACCTTTTTGCGCTCAATGCGCCTGCGCCACAGCGTGCGACTCATGGTTAGCACCGCCTTTGGTGCCCACTGCGTCAAGCTTCCGCGGGCACCAGCAGCCGACGCAGTGCCGGCCACGCATTCTGTTGCTTCCTTCCTTTCCTTTCCTTTAAGAGTGGACTGCTCTGTAGAGGGCAGAATTGTGTCACCCTCGTCAAAGCTTGCACGACCTTAAGATTCTGGGCTCGTGTTGGGAACCAACCTGAGTTGTAACACCCGAGTGTATGCCGGAATCTGCAAGGTAGTTCCCCTGCTGCCAGAGGATGGTCTGTTCCTTGGGGTTGACAGGCACATCGCCCGGATTTGAGTAATTGCCATGGCCCACTACGGATGCAGGAACAAAAATGCAGTCAGTATGACACAAGCCCTTTTGTTCACAAAAACAACCTACGGTCAGTTTGTCAAATTATTACATGCCCACAGAATATCCAAATGAAATACATATTTTAATCTAAGGAAGAACTCTACTAAGCTCCATCAGAGTAGCCAAAATTGTAAAAAAAATCTTCCTCACCTCTGTTAACATGTTCCCAAGAAAATCCCCACCCTGAGAGTACAGGCAGCCACTTATGGTTACAGAGCATTCCTTAAAGGGATTCTTCCATGAAATTTGAAATATATCCGTCGTCTTCATAAATAGGTTGAATATGATCCACAATACCCGTAAATGACAATCACACGTTTGTATTTTGAGCCTGGTGGCTGTATTTTTTGTTATAAACGACCCACTCTGGCAAGCGCTCGGAGAAGGCCCAGCTTAGAGCCCGTGACATCCAACGCAATCGTGACGTAGGTCGTCTCGGGACGAGCAAAGCTACGGCGAGGCTGACGTCCAGAGGATGGCCTAGTCGTTCCAGTCACCGAAGCGGCTGCTTTTGTACGAATTTTGAGTGATGGGTTAATCTTTTATAATCTTGTAGGGGGACAGACAATAGCTACTTCTGGAACACACAAAATGGTTTCTCGGGAAGACGGGAGTTCCTCCTTCCCCTCTTTTCTCGTCGTGGCAGGAGGCAAGACACTCACCGTCACTAGCTGTCAAGGTTCCTAGACGGGCATTACAAACGTGGCGTTAGCGACATCTACCAGGTGCTCTTTGCTAATTGTTTAATTTGTTTTAAAATTCCTTTTCGTGACTTTTTTAACAAGATACTGGTGTGTTCGATGTGATACTGCTCCTTTGAACACATAGACCATAAAATAAGCGCCAAATTTTCGTTGTAGTATCCCTTTAAAGGGGCCCTGCAATGACTTTTTTACAAATTTTTAATTTGCACCGAACCCGAGCGCACTGAACGTAGTAACTTAGTGAAACTTTTCTTTTCTCGAAATTCTCTTTATTTTAAAAGTTATCGGCAAATTAAAATTACAAAAACAAGCAAAAAATAACCTCCCTCATGACGTCCTTGGTTGCTTGAGAGTGGCCGTGAACTAGAGTAGTAGTAGTGAGCTCATCGAGCGCTCACGGCTGCCGCACTCCGTGTCGACGGCGCGAGAGGGCGCCATTAAAGCATGTTCTGATAGGCTGTATGCAGCGGGCAGCCAGAGCGGCTCTCATTGCATTTGCTGCTCGATTAAACACTAATTCGGCATGACACTTCATTGGCCACAAACGACTGCAAACACGGGGTAAAGATCAGTTCAGAATTGGAGCTACTTTGCGCTGCCATACCGTGAAACGGCCAAACCCCAAGACAAAGCTTCTCGCCGAAGGCCTTCGGAACGCTCGGAGCCGGTCGGATCCTCCTGCCCATACGACCGCAGCGCCGCCGCGTACATCCGGGACCTTTCCGTGTCGGCGCCTGATCCCACTACTCCTTTCTAGTATGCGCCGCCTTTTCCACCGCTTGGTGGCGGGTATGTCAACGGGTCATATCTTGTTTCCATACTTTATCAACTGCATTTGTTTCTTTTTTGATCTAAAATACTGAACAAAAACTACTTTTATGAATAATTGAAACGGTTCGCGCTACTTATATTTTGTATTTCAACTAAAAAAAAGCTTTTAGCAGCTCTGAGCAGTAGCAAGTCCAGGACCAAAGACGTCACATTTTGCGCGCTTTCGGTACTGCGGGTCGCCCTCGTCGGTGGAGGAGGTTCCCGCGCCGTCTAATTAAAATATGAAGCACTGACATTTAGTTACTCTTTCCGTGCCCGCTCGCTTGCCCGAACCCCAAGAGACGTGGAAACCACAAAAAAGGTAAACGCTTATATATAATTGCAGGGCCCCTTTAAAGGCCCATTCACACAGTTGCATTCAGAGCGACCACTATGCTTACGAAGGAATGTAATCGGTTGGAACGACGAGTTGCCATAGCAATGAAGCGCCAAACGGTTGTTTCTTTCGTGTTCGTTCGCAACGAAAGGAGTTGAGCCGGGCTAAACTTTTTCGTTACGTTCGGGAATGACAGAAGCGACAGACCAATCACAGGTCAAGGAGAGCTCGGTCACGCGCGTTGCATGCTGGTTGTGCCAGGCTCCTATCTGCAAGCATGGCGTCGGTAGCGATTGTCGACGTGGATGGCGTGGTGGAAGCTCATCGTTCCCTGTAAAAGCGCTATCCTTGACTGAATTTTCATCGTGTGTCATTATGATAACCCAGCACGAACGAGAAGGGAAGATGTGGATCTTCCCTTCTCGTTCGTTCTCTTCTCGTACTTCTGCGGCGATCTTGTGGCGGCAATCCCAAGACAGCAGGAACGCCCATGCCGTCGTGTTTGTTTACTTCGACTACAGTGGTGCTTTCTTAGCATTTGTGTCCTCGAACATCGCCCGGATTTCTTTCTTGGCACTTTCCATGCGTGTGCTGAAGTTCAAGGTATTACTGGTGCCTACCGCATAAAGGATACAAATTTTCACGAATTTTCATCACCCGAGAAAAGTGATTAGTGTTAGCAATCCTGAACGCTCGCAACGTCCATCACAAAATTATATTTCTACCTTGCGATATTGCTGCTAAGATTACATTGTCTTTTATAATCGTAGAAAAGGCATGTGTCGAGATTTGTACTGTTGGCAAAGTCGTGATCGTGCAAGACGGCGTACTGCATCTTTTTTTCTTTTTTTTAATGCACTACCCTGCAAGCATATCCTGAAAAGAATAAATAAAGCTTGAGGTCTATAGAAGACGGTCTGTCCATTCTCTGTTACGCAAATGAGTGGCAGCGCGTCCCCTGCTTTCTAGAGGCACTGCTGAAACAGCTGACGGCGGCAAAGAGGCGGTCGCCGTGCTGCCGACCCGCTGCGCTTGTTGCAGGAGTGTACGCATGGCGCAGAGCGATCGTTCCAGTCACAGCGGACGCAGTCGTGGATAACGGGTTCGTTTCAGATGTCTGAACCAGCCTTTACACAGCTATTATAGGCGCACAGCAGATCTTCGTGACTGTATGCCATAGCCGAAACCTCCGGCTGCTCCGGTGAGGACCTCGCGTCGGACATAAAACCGTTTGCCATGTTTGTAAGCATAGCTGGGTTGCTTACTATTGGCTAGGAGCAAGAGCTGAAGGTCATCTCTCATTGGCTGTTAATTCGTGCGGTTGCTTGCGGTTGCATGTGTGTGTACATGTCGCGCACAGTTGTTGAAGTCGCAGCGGTCGCATTCGTTCGTAAGCATAGTGGTCGCTCTGAACGCAGGTGTGTGAACGGGCCTTAAGGTCTATTCACACAATGCACCTTGTTGGCGAATCTTGTGTCGTGAAACTAGGTTTCGGGAAACAGATTCCCCGTGTGAATGAAACCGAAAAAGTGGCGCGTCCTCCTCTCTTCTGGCGCAATTTTTTGCTGAAACCTTACCGAGGCCTGTCATCACCCAAAAAAGAAATGCAGATGCTCCCAATGGCCACTCGACTTAGCTATGATGTCTGACCTTTGAGGCAGGGTGAGCTTTTGGAGGAGTGTGATTCTTAAGACTTATTCACACAATGCATCTTTTCAACGCGCCATAGTTTAGCGAAACCGAGATTTCGCGAAATCGGCCTGTTCACACGTGGAGTTTGACGCACGAAACCCAACTCACGAGAATTTCGCCAAACAATGTCATCTGCACCAGGAATATGAAGCGTTTCGCATCAAAATATGAAGTACCGTAAAATACCGAGCAAGCGCCCACTCAAATTTGAGATAATCGCGAAAAAATGGGGGATGGGCGCTTGTCTGGTCATCAATTTTACATATAAATGTACTGTGCAAATTTTTTCACATCTTAGAAATTTGGATATGGGCGCTTAATGTAGACTGGGCGGATGCGCAGTATTCTACGGTACGCACAGTGTGAAGAGACAGTCTGGTCTATTCAATTAGCTTCGTCAGATCCGGCTGATTGGGTTTACTAGTCCTGCCAAACCCGGAAAAGACCGCAAACGTCAAAGAACAGGCAGATGATCTCGAAGCATTTCAAACATTTTTGCACCGCTGAAAGAAAGTTATCCCCAGCCTTCATGTTGATATGCAGTGCTTGCACTTGTCGCGACTGTTGATGAATCTGCACCACCCCACCAGCCCGTACTGCTAAAGCGCCGTTCACACACTTGCAACCAGTAGGACCAAGACTCATCGCCCGTGCACACCGCTTCTCCGCTTGTTGCTTGCCATGTTTGCTTTTCTTTTTTCGGCTTTGGCTCGAATACGGAATCGGTCAAAAATCGGACTTCTCCAAAAGTTTGCTCCTCCTCGAAGGTCAGACATCATAGCAAGGTCGAGCGGCCATTGGCAGCGTCCGCGTTCATCCTTCGGGCGATTGACAGGCCTCGGTGAGGTTTCAGTGAAAAATTGCTCCAGAAGCGAGGAACATGCGCCAGTTTTTTTTGGAGGCGCGCCACTTTTTTGGTCGCATTCAGGCGGGGAACTTGTTTCCAGAAACATAGTTTCGCGACACAAGTTTCACCAACAAGATGCATTGTGTGAATGGACCTTTAGCAGACTCCATATCCAAAACAAAGCCGAAAAGCAAAAAGCAAATATGGGGGAGAGCACAAATGGAGAAGCGGTGCGTACAGGCGACATGTGTTACCAGTACAGGTTGGTGATGCAGTGTAGATTCATCAACAGTCGCGACGAGTGCAAGCACAGCATATAAAAGTGATGACTGGGGATAGCTTATTTCTTTTAGCGGTTCAAAGATGTCCGAAATGCCTCGAGACCTTCCGCCTGTTCTTGGACGTTCGCGGCCTTTCCCAGTGAGTGAAATCTGCCCAAGTTTATGGAGTGGTATTAATGAATTAATAAAGCAGACTCTCTTCAGAGTGTGCATACTTCACATCATTTTGATGTGAAACGCTCAATATTCTCGGTGCAGGGGCCCTATGTTGCACGTTTTGGACTCCGACGGCGACTAGGGAGAGCGACGTCAACAACGCAGCAAATGCAGATTGGATATCGATTGATGAGAGATCACTCAACATCCAATCTGCATTTGCTGCGTTGTTGACGTCACTTCCTTCTCCATAGTCACCGTGAGAGTCCAAACCGAGCAACATAGATCTCCAGGTGACAAGGTTTAATGAAATTCTCGTTGAGTCAATACGTCACAAGTTTCGCGCGTAAAACTCCACGTGTGAACAGGCTGATTTCGCGAAATCTCGGATTCGTTAAACTGTGGCGCGTCGAAGCATCGTGTGAATAAGCCTTCATATGAATATAAAAATTGCATCACACAAGTGCGATGAGCGACAATTCACAAAGAGACAAGAAAATTAGGGTAGTATGCCATAAACACCCAAGCGCTTTTGTTAACAATTGAACATGTTGCGCGAACCAATGCATGCGCATCGCTCGTACACACGAGAATGGCACCTGCGAGAAAAAATGTGCTTACTTGACCGAGAAGCAGGCTGTGCTCCCGACTGCATCTGATAGCTCATATTCAAGCGCTCGGCTATTCACCTAAGACGAAACAAAAACAAGATTACACTCTTAGCCCTGATGCTGTCACCCAACGTCCATGCACGCCAGACAAAAACGGGTCAAAGGCAAATGGCTGTCGAGGCTGTGATAAGGCTTCACTCAATTTTTTGCGAGCGCGCTTATTAATCTCGTCGATATGCACGTCGGTAAGCTTCAAACCGGCCTCCGTCAGAGTGCGGACCTCGTCGGCACTGAGCCGCGAAACACCATCGGGGATAATTTGACGGTAGTCTTCTGTGTGGCAAAAGCTGTCAACGAGCGCGCCTTTGACACTCACGCTACCGCATATCAAACAAACTATTTGAAGACAGTTAAGCGTACACCTCGCATAAATACTCGAATAACCTGAAGAGAAAACAAATAGCTATGTAATTCGTAGCCGCAACCATAACCACTACGCGAAGACAACGTAAACAATGTTGGATCGGAGTCTCGTAGGATTTGAGGCCAACGCCTCGAAGCCCGACGGCCCGACTTCACAAGACCGCCAATGTATGTAGTTGTCATAGCTTCGAGAGGTCAAAACTGACATCGAAATGGATCCCAAAGCGTGTAATGTAATAAAGCACCTTACAAACACGATCAGTTGATGCACGCTCACCAATAAGCCTATCGGAGTCAGTAACCTCTAGACTCCAAAACCGTTTTGAAGACGAAGCTAAACGAGTAGCAAGACGGATCATAATCGGAGTCATAGCGCAGAGAAAGCAGAACGTACTCACTCCAGTCGACACGGCACAGCCTTAGCCAGCGCCTGAATATTCGTAAACAATTCGATTGTCGTTACGATTTCGCTCAGCTCAAAATGGCGTCACGAAACCATCGCGCTGATCGCACGAGAAAACGAGAAAACAAAACAATCGCAGAAAGCGCTGCTGGTGGCGAGAACAGGCGAAGCGGCGAGGTGTTGCGCTGGCGCTGGTGGGTGGTGGGCACCGCCTCACCACGATGTCCTTCCGCAGATAAAACAAGTTCGAGCCAGTTTAAAATATGAAAATAAATCAACGAGACAAATGCTAATCAACTGGCGTTAGTATTGTGTGAAAAATTCGTATTTGGCGGTGCATTGGCTTCTGTCTCACTTTTATTTGGTGACACTTTATCGTGCACGCAACCTCTCTAGTCTCGCATTCCAAAGCTCTGCGGTAGCCCCAGTGGCGTATTTTGAAATTCTAACCATTACAAGGGGGCGAAGCCAAAACACAAAAAACAGAAACAGCAGCCTCTTTTTGTTTTAATTACAAAATCACTGTAATAGGCACTTGCGCGAGGCGCAATAATAATCAGAATAGAATAGAATCAGAGCATTAAATAACGTCCAAAGATGCGATTGCCAGACGACGCGGACGTGCATAGCGCAAGTTTTCGTTCGGATCTCGCATACTTCGAAAGGGTTTGTGGTTAACTGTTAACTGGCGAAACTTGTTGGGTCTCCTGTCAAAACGCCCAGTTGGGGAACGAGTATGAGCAAATTTGCAACGGCAGATCTCCGCAAAATAAAAAATGCAGCGATCCGCGGCCGTCAAGCGCGAACAGTCTCTGTCACGCGAGCGTCGATTACGCGCTGAACACTATGATCGCCTAATAATTTGAAATCAGATGCACACATCCGACTCTTCCGGACAGCGAATGAACTTGATCCAACCTCGTTGACTTGATCAAACGAATCACCACTTGATTTCTTATGCAAATAAAGATTAATTAGTATACGCCCAGATATAACTTCTTTATTTTAGCCTGAACGCAGGTTTTCATCATACAGACCCACTTGGTACTGCACAAACAATTTAATGCATAAAAAAAAGTTTTTTTTTTTTTTTCTTTTTAAATTTCAGAGCAGAATTATTTGATGACGTTACTTTTCGTGTGCTTGTGACTAGGCGGTTGATGTGAGCCCTAACGAACTCCCGCAAAAACCCACAAACTAAAAGAGAAAGAAAAACTTTCAGCCTTTCCACTCTGGTGAAGGAAGAGCAGCGGAGCTGAACTATGTGCCGCCATCTATGAGCTACGGCAGCAACCAGACAATCGGCAAGTTGGTTGTCTGGTTGCCGCCGTCGCTCATAGATGGCGCTAGCTGTCCAGAGCATTGTGTCGATTTATATGTCCACGGACACGAAATTGGGGAAACAAGCCCTTAACAGCTCTGCTGTAAAAGAAACCGTTTAATTTTGAGAGTGTTGGTTCCACTTTAATTTCAGACACTTCAATTTTCGAAGTTCGAGAGCCATATTTTTTTTCAGCAGGCAATAAAGCGTGTGTTTGAGACATAATTAAATCAAGACGTGAAACAGTATTGGTACCATCCTTTCGACTTTTCATCTCATAGACACAACAGCACTTGTGTACGTCTGCCCAAACAGATCAGTTCCAACAAATGCAATGTCTCGCATGATCGGAACAAATCGGACGCGAAACCAGTTTTCTTACCTTCTCCAACTGGGTTCTAGAATCTATGCAGCCTTCTGACATCCGCGTCTTCACCTGCATCTACGTCAACATCAGAATCACTGTGGCAGGTCGACGTCGTCACAATCACAAGATCTCCACTCGTCGTCAAAAACACGCCGCTAGCTTTTTGCGGGGAATGAGAGGCACAATCATACTATACACACTGCAAAGGTTTTGTCCTAATCACAATATCTCTACCCATCGTCGAAAACGCACATCGACACACAATATTTCGACATTATTTCATCGACAGCAGCTCAGATTAGTTTCTTTCTGTAATAAGCTGCACGACCATTGCCGCAAAGCAGCGCTTACGGGTCGGTCAGGAGGGTTAACATTTTTGTAATGAGCCACCGCAGACTGTCACCGCGAAAGCAGGCAGGGGGCTGGGTTAATGCGCACCGCAGTGATACGCGCATGACGAAATGACCTTACAGCGTGCAATTTGCACGAGTGTCAACTAAATGTGTCCATGCAAAGTTGTCCACGAAATGAGTTTCGGCAAAATGATAGGGACCCCTTCCTACTACTTCCGCGATTCCTTTCTGTACGATTCAAACTAGATTTTCGTACGCCCCGCTTTTTTTTTTTTTGTAGTTTTAGAATACATTTAACATGAAACCACGACCCCTAGTTTTCCGTTTTAAACTACGGCATTTATTGCTCATCAGAAAGCGACTCTGGGGCACAACATAGAGCTACAAATATGGATGTTTGATCTTCGTGTTTGCGCTACCCGCATCGCACACTCTACCCGTTTTATTCCCAAGATGAAAATGTCCTCTCCGCCACATCTTTACCGCAACCACTCCATTGAATGAATCACATATAAAATATAAATGAAGGACCCACACAAAAATAGCCACAAAGCAATCTTTATTTTTGTTCAGTGGACAGAGTACCAAAATGCAACATATTATGTTGCGTGCAGTGCAAGACAGATTCAAACTGTCTTACAAGGCAAAACCCAAATGCACTGTAATGTCACACCTCCCAGATATAAATACACACACGCATACTGACAAACAATACAAGCTAAAAGAAAAATCAATACCTTGACCACAGTGTGCATTGTCGGACGAACAGGACACACAAACTTAATTTTATATTTTGACTTATGACCACCGAAGACCTACCATAATAAACCACTCCACTCTGCTTCTAAAACAGACTATGAAAGAGTAAACGAGCTAGGTAAATAAGAAAAGCTGGCTAAAGGCACTCTCCCTTCACATTTATTCAATTTTCCGTTCACTCGTCAACCCACAAGGAAATAAAAATTAACTGCATAATATATGCTTGTACAGATCTAGTTGATAATGGCATGGCAAATACAACTGCACTGCCAATACACACAGAAAAAAAAAGTAATATTGCTTGCTACAAACAAAGCTTGTAAAGACATGTGCATATCAATTGACACCCACATGTCGAGTTATATAAAGTATTACCAACACTTGGTTTGTGGCTTCTACATTTGCTCGTCCCAGCTGGAGTTATATACAGAACCTTTGTAGTATTTACAGATATACATTTCAACTGAAAGTTAAATGAATGTTAAAAAAGAAAAAAATGCCAAGCTGCAACCTATGTCAAAAAGCATCACAAAAGATCAAGACACACCAGCAGTCAGTCAACCTTTTTATCCATGTACTCAAACAAGCCAAACAAAAATCCTGGAAAACAGTCCCTCCAAAACCTGCTGACAAGAGTTCAGCACAACACTTCGGACACCCGGAGCCACTTGCAACACAGTCATCGTGCAAGCTCCAAAGTGACTAACACGTGGCTACACAGTGGGAAAGTCAACAGCACTATGTGGCCAATTCGGGATACTGTAAACTAGGGACAAAATTGTGTACTTGGGTGACTATTGTGTACATTCAAGGCAATACCTCTATGAGACTAGGCACACATCAAGTTACTTAGACCACATCAGGCCACCCTCGTTGACCGAAATACGACTCCTGCAAAGTCCCCTACAACACTGGGGAGCTCCAACACCAAACAGTGTTAAGGCACACACTACAAAAAACCAAAATTAGGCCTGCTTTGTTGTTGTTTGGCACGTCACAAGCCACAAAGGACAAAGTACAAACAGAACGGAAACTGTTGGAGGTAGACCGCACGAAAAAAAAAAAAAAAAAGCCTGCTCAAAATGAGTGGTGCCCCCTTCCGGTGAAAAACCTACTGCCACAAACACCAGGCTACAGATGCCCAAAACAAGTGTGGACCGAGGAAGTGAAATACACAATGAAGAGGGGAGTGGAAATAGAAAAAAATGAAGGAGCACACAACTGCCAACAGGTGAGTGCCCTAGGCCCGTCCATTGACCCGGTCTGGAGAGGGCTTCCTGTTACTTTCATCATCGCGGGGTCGGCGGCCAACGTCTCCAGTGTAGCGGCCTCTGCCCGAGCCCGAAGAGTAGCGGTGAGAGCGTCCACCGCCATAGCCCGAACGGGCCGCAGGGGCACCCCGGTCGCCTCTGGTGTATCGCAGGTCGTCCGAGCGGCGGTTGCGACCGCCCCGAGGATAACCGCCCGAACGCATGCCGGGGGAGTAGCCACGGTAGCCACTGCGGCGGCTGTTGGGACACGCCTTGAAGGATTGAAAAGACGCCAGCTCAATGAAACATGCAGCCCAAGCTGGCTTAAGAAAGGCCACCTTTCAAACCAGGGCGGAGGCCATCCCCGCGTAAATCTGCCCATTTCCAATTTTTTCAACTAGCCAGTTTGAACATATAAATGTGTGCACAAAAGGAAGCACAAGATGGATACACTTCCGACTAACAAATAAGCTTCAATAAGACGAGTCAAACCATGTACAGGGTATTGAAGAATTAAAAACAGCGCGAATAAGACAAAAAAAATTCTTTCAGCATTACGCTATTGCCTGTGGCGGATGGCAGGGTATGAATGAGAAGTGATAATAGCAATCTAATTATACGCCTCGCAAGTGGGCTCATTTTCGTCTTCTGCGCATGAGAAAGGAAGTAGCGGTGACGTCAGAACGCCGAGTCCTGATTGGCTGATCGCGACCCCCTATTGAGCGTCGTCTGCTCCTTTGCAACGTCGTCTGCTCGCAACGTCGTCTGCGTCTGTCTTACCTTTCCTGCGACTTTCGGAACGAACTCGACTTCGCCTTTAAGGGAGGGCAGACAAAATAACTCGAGCGGTACGTTGTTTTCGTCTAACAACTAGCAGACGCGCATCAAGGAAGGAAGTCAAAGGACTCACTGGCGAGGTGTCCCGGGGCGCCGAGGTTTGTTTGCTTAGTGTCCGCAAGTTCCCTCCCAAATACTTTTTACCTCCATTCGCGTGCGGCGAGACGCCTCACTCTTTAACGGCGCCGGCGGGTTGGCGCAGTTAACGTCGTCTGCTTTACGTCTGCTTGTCAGAGCGATGGCTGCTTTACCTTTCCTGCGTCTGTCGGAGATTCGCCGCTTTTTCACCGGCGAGAGTCACCGTTGCCTCCGGAAACAAGGAGATAACAAGAGGAAGAAATTGACCTCTTAATCTAAAACTGAGGTCAGCGATCAAAGTATAACACGGGAAGGGTTCACAAGGGTCGCGCGGGCATATTCCATTCAGCACGTCAGCCGGTCGTGGGCAGACAGTCGCCGAGTCGCGGAGTGCCTGCTAGGCCTAACTGCCCAGCTCGTTTGGTCGCGTTCGGTGGAATCGTCGCCGTTGGAGCTTTTCCCCGGTGTCTGTGGATCCAGCGTTCTTGTTCGTCGTGCTCTGTTTCAAGTAATTTTTACCTTTTTTTTTTGCTGCTTGAAGTCAGGACGCGCGAGAAGCTCACGTAGAAAAATAAACGTCCGTGGGTCGTCGCGACCGCGACGCTGTCGGCCATGCTGACTTGATCGTAAGAAGTGCGTAAGACAGCTTCGGAGCTGTCGTAGGATTTCGCCGTAACCTGCGCAAAACTTACGAAAATTTCGTTTCGTGAATACGAATTTGTTCTTAAGTTTTGTCTTACGCACATTTTTGGCGTAAGATCGTTTCGTGAATCTGGCCTCTGCACTTCCGAAAGTCGCAGGAAAGGTAAGACAGACGCAGACGACGTTGCGAGCAGACGACGTTGCAAAGAAGCAGACGACGCTCAGATAGGGGGGCTCGATCAGCCAATCAGGGCTCGGCGTTCTGACGTCACCGCTACCCCCTGCGCAAGGAGCAGACGAACTTGCCCTCCGCATACCTACGTTCACTAATAAAATTTCTAGATACATATTCCCCTTATCTGGCACATTCCAATTAGAGATTTGTTGCCCATCGTCCACATATGCTACCAGAATAATGCACCTAAAGCTGCATGCTCAAATAAACACCAGAGTGTGGCATGCCTTTTCTGCAACCATGTGACCCTTAGATTACACTACGCTGTCAGATCAGCTGATGATTACTCGCTACTCGCCCCTGCTGTAGAGGCCGATGTAGTTTTCGAGGTGGATTTCCGCTGCTCTTTTCATTTAAGTTTCAGTATCCCAGCCTCCTCACTGCTTAAATTTGCCAGGGAATAGTGCGGGGCAGACTTTAGCCCAAATTCTATCAGCCGTGGCATATTTTGACGATGGTTGCACTCTACAATTGCTACCGGACATTCGCTATGGCCGATAATGTTATCCCGAAAGAATCTTTGCTCTATTTCAAGCGCCCTTTTCTTAAAAAGTATGCTCAGTCATTAGAAAAACAGCCTGTATGTAAAGTTTTTAACTTTACAGATAAAAATAAATAAAGACACAAAAGTTACATTAGTGCAGTCTGTGCAGGTGAGTTATAAGACCAGGGGGAGATAACAGGGAGCTAATAGTCATAATTGTTCAGCTAATGAACTAAAATCTGTTGATTAACTTTTTAATTTGTGGTAATAAATATATGTTTTCAATTAGAAACTTGCCAAGTGTCATCGAAAACCACTGTCACCAAGAACCCACTTTCTTTGCGTTTCACTACAGTGATATGACAGTGTTGAAAATCGGGAAGAGGAAGGCTTTTAACTTTTTCTTAAATCCAGGACCAATCACATGAAAAAGCCCAAATATATAGAATGGCCTGCATCCCAAGTCAACTAGAGACAAATTAGTAGTATGGATGACATATTCAATAAAGCAGGCACTCTTACACCCGTGCCACACGGGCAACTCCAATGCCATTTACAACGAACGACATTTGAGCGGACGGCCAATCAGCGCGCAACACTCCGGGCGTAGCGCATTCCACGCGCGACAGATTGCGAGCCGATTCGCCAATCACACAAATGTCATTCGTTGTAAATGGCATTCGAGTTGCCCATGTGGCACGGGTACAACATTCAATACAAAATTGCGTCCTCCCTTTTTCTTCAAATGTTTCTTCCAAACTCTCACTTGAGCGAACGTCGGTTTAATGAATACTTCAGAATAACAAACTTTACAAAAATCCCAGGCGGTTTTCCTATGCATTCTATGCAAAAATGTTTCAGTTAAAGAAAAAAACGAATTTCGAAACAGTGAATATTTCAGTTCAACAAACTTGATCGGTGGGCTCAAGATTATTTTTGCAATCAGTTCAACGAAGTTTTGTGCTCTGCACTGCTGGCGTAGCCGATGCCCACCGCCCCGCTGCCGCCGCCTCTGCAGCGACAGCGTTGGCGTTTACAGCACCGCCAAGGCAAAACGGCTCCAAGGTAGACGAAAACGAACCACTTTTGCACCAGTTTTTTCTTTGCCATCGGTTCCGTTCGGCCATCTTAGTTTTGGGTAACAACGGCAGGGCGGCAGTTTATGCGCCCACTTTCGTAATGAGTACGACAAAACGGAAGCGGTTGTCTCTATCAGACAAGCTCAAAATCCTTCAGCGTCTGGACAACGCGCAAAGGCAAGTGGACGTTGCGAAGGACTATGGGATTCCACCGTCGACGTTGTCAACGATACTGAAGCAAAGTCGAAGCTTGAAGGAGAAACTGCGCTCAATCCCAACAGGAAACAACTGTGCACAGGATATTTCAAGCCAGTGGACGACGTCGTTGCGGTATGGCTTCGTCACAACAACAAGCTGTGTCAGAGGAAGTGCAAAAAAACACTCTCTGGACAGCTTTGTTTCGTCTTACGCTTTAATGGCGGCATGTTCACACTCGAAGCGAATCCACGCGTCCTCAAACGCGAAGCGGCTGGGATCGAGAGGTTTTAGCAAAATTTTGGCAACCGCTTCCGGGACAGACCCAACCGCTTTCGTGAACCGCGAAACGGCAACCAATCACAACGCAGCGCTGACGTGACGTCGGTGGCTTTCGAAACAAGATGGTATATGTCACTGGTGAGGCGTCCAAGGTGCTGTAGTCCTAGCATTACAGCAGACAAATCAACGAAAAAACGTGATGTTCATGTCCATCACTTGAATCTGCTGCGAAAAGAATTGACTCGTAATCTTAACAGGCTTTGCTCCGGTGATTTGGATCGAGTAGGAGTTTAATATTCGGGGTGCCACAGCCCGTTGCTCGCTGCCTTGTTAGCCTTTGCCCGTAGAAGGTCGGAACCCGCCCCTGGTCGCCTGATATGACAGCTTTTGTACCCGCTAAGACAGTCGCGTGAACTACTGAAAGCTTTCGAGCTCAACCGCATGCATCGCCAGTATCGCTCTTTTCATGTGTTGTGCGTAGGTCCCGCAGTTTCGTTCCTCCGGGTTCATTCCTCCGACATTGCGTCAACTGCGTGTGGCGTAAGGATGGCAACAAACGTAAAGAAACGTACGTCGCCGACGTTTGGGACGAAGCTTGAAATCATCTGCCACTTTGAAAAAGGAAAGAAGGCCAGCGGTGCCAAAGCGTACAACATACGGTACGGCGAAGAACTTTGAGCACGCTGCTGAAGACGAAAAGCGACATCAAATCGAAGGCTGAACGAAGCATGCAATCCGGCGCACGCTGTGTTCGGACACCGGCCTTCGAAAAGGTGGAAAGATCACTTCACATAGACGCAAGGGCTCGGAACATTCCGGTGTCGGGGCCGATGCAGAAAGCAAAGAACTTCACGTTCATCCACCAAGCACAAAACTTCGCCGACTTCGGGCGAAGCTGTGGCTGCATTGACGCTTTTATGCCGCTACTGCAGCGCAATCGATGGTAGTGGTCTGGTGCTGGTGGACTGCTTGGAGACCGTGGAGCGGGCCGTAATAAGGCATGCGGTCATCTCCAAGAAGCAATCTACACTGCGGCAGTTTTTTTCGCCGGAATAAATAGTTCATCTTAACGCTTCACGTGAGTAGTCATTTTTGCCGTTAGCTTTTTGGTGATTAAATCGCGCTGCACTTGGATGCGTTTCTGTATATAAAATTTTGGTTATATTGAATTATTTCACCGTCCTCGCACTGTTCGATATAACGAGGTTCGACTGTATTTAACAAGTTACCTGCCCCGAGTCAATCTACATGAAAGTGCTCCTTAGCATACTGCCTGTATCTTCCTCCATCACACTTTTTTGGAGTAATTCTTCGGGCAGTTGGTAAAGTCCACATAACTCGGAAATCACCTAAGAATTAATGTCCTTTCTTGTATATACCCCTGGAGTTTCTGGATGCAGTAAGAGGCTAATTAGAACAAAATTAAGTTGCTACAATCTTTCTTGCCATAGGATATAAAAAACACAACAGAAAGATTGAAGAATTACGGAACATACCTCTGGCCGTCTTCCACTGCCATCTTCTTCTTTCATTGTCTCAAAGGTATCTGAAGATAATAGGAACAAGAAATAACAATGCTAAATATGCATTAAACCAACAAAAAAGAAAATGATGTACTGGGGTCACACATGAGAAAGTTTACATGGTTTTGGGATTGAACAAATGAACCATGCAATGCCCAAAGCTGTACTTTGCTAGTGGTGGCAATTACGTAGGGTGACCATATTCCTCAAGCTAGAAAACGGGACATCCCAGTGGAAAAGGCGGGCGGGGAGGGGGGCATATTAAAGTTTGAGATTGGGAGAAAAAAATTTAATGAAATTTTACATGCGTGCTATATCTACATGATTCTACATCCGTGCTATATCCAGTAACTAAAGAAAAATATTTTTACACACGCGTCTTCGCGAGAGTAAAGGTGTTTGTGTGCAAGAACACCTCTAAATTTTACTCTCTAGGTAAAAATTTTAAAGTATACCTATGGTTATTTTTGGAAAATATACTTGTAACGAATAGGCATAGTTTCGCTTCCTTCTACTCGCTTGGTGCCAATTCCGAAACTATGTACTCCTGTGAAAACGGGACATGATTCTATATTGGGATAAAAAGACGGGATGGCAGAACTGGACCTCAAAAACGGGACTGTCCCGGCCAAAACGGGACGTCTGGTCACCCTACAATTACGTCACCACTAGCATTTACCTCCGGACAGAATTCCAGCTCTCTTCATGCACTTGAAGAAAAATTGTAGTGATGTGATTGGTCAGTTACTTCGAGCACCTTTTGGAGCATAAGTTTATACTTCATTTTTACTCATTCCACCGCACATATTATACGTTAAGATTCATGTCTACTTTGCCTTCCCGCTTCTGTGCAACCTTTTGCTAGTGCCAGTTGCACGGAAGGTTTGATTTTCTGTAACACAGAACTAGCTGCTGCAAGTGGAAGTACCAGGCACGACAATGATATGCTGATTGATGAAAGACATGCTGTGAATAGCTATTTGAGGTACGGAAAGAAACAAAGGTAAACCAAATAGTATATTCCACGGAAATTATGTTAGAACGGCATAACGTTGGGCACCCAAATTTGTGTTTCATTGAAGCCCTATAGGTTGTAATAAAAATGCAATTATTAATTCAAATGAAAACAAAGCTTTTGTAATTTAATTATTATCAATGACAATTTATATGCAGCACTTCGAGATAACAAAAATCGACACGTGAAAATAAATAAGCCTTACCGACGACTTCACAAACTTTACTCCAATTGAGGCACCCCTCCACTTCCTCGAGGAAGGTGCAAGATCCAGCGCTGACCAATCACGACGACAGATAGGCAGCTGCGATTGGCCAGCGCCGGCCCTCGCGCCTTCCTCGAGGGATTGGAGGGGCGCCTCAATTGAAGTGAGGTTTGTGAATTCGGCGGTTAGAAACAATCCGGTTGAACTCATTAAGGTTATTCCCGTTTCCATCCATTCCTTCAGCTACCGTATAATCGCGAGTAAGGGCCGCACCCCCGTATTTAGGACAAAATATTGCAAAAAAAAAATTGGAGAAATTATTCGTATATGCGCCGCACCCCCTTGTTTTTTGAGGTGCGCCGACTGTAATGCATGAAAGTTTCCGTGAATATATATCGCTAGGTGGCGCTAGCCACTGCCCGAGCATGTAGCGGCATGTCTCCGCATCCCCGATACAGTCCCGATATTCGCTCTCCACGCATCCGTACCACCGTACGGCACAATGGCTGCCGACCTTGATCGTGGTCGGCCGCACCGTCGGGATGCCTTTATGTTGCGGCCGGAAGACATTGAGAAAAGATAAAGGATATGTCAGCTTCCGTGGCAAGCGTGAGGAATGGGGATTCAGCGGGCTCGGCTCGCGCGTGCACTCAGGTTTCTGAACGCCACTGTACGCTCTAGGGAGGTTTTCTTTTGTTCTTCGATTCATGTCAAAGCGTCGTGATTTGTCAGCCTTTTCGCACAATCAGAGCTATGGGCAAGTACCACTTTAACAGTTATATGGGATTCAAGTCGAAAGTTGCCGCGCATGCTATCAAGTACAAAAAAAAAAGATGCGTATTGCGCAGTATGTAAATTAATTAAATCCGACTGACAATTCACTCCGGATTCCAGAGTGAAGGCGTTTTCGACCAGTGCAGCCGAGCGCGCTCATGTACATTCATTTCGAAATGTGGATACAGATTTTTTTTTATTTTTTATTTATCCGTGTATGGGCCGCACCTTGAAAATTTGCCCTGAAATCCGGAACAAATAGTGCGGCCCTTACAAGAGTTTATACGGTAATTCACCTAGTTAATATTTACTTCATTCACTGTGTTGTCACAAAGATGGAACCTATGTAAAGGTGACAACTAAACAAGAGTTTACCTACGTAAAAATCAGTGTCGAACCGAAAAAAATACGGGTGCGGTTACGGTTCAGGTTCAGGTAAATTAATTTGGTTCTGGTTCAGTTCCGGTTCGATTAATTCGATCCGCGAACCGGTTCGCGATTCGGTTCGAAAATTATAAATGACAAATTGCAACATCAAAATAAATTACAAATAAAACATCTGAAATCAGCACATACGAAACGGGATACATCGTAGTGTAAGGCTCAGGGATTTCTACCAGGAATGGTTTCTTTATGTGCACTCAAAGGTTACCTCACCGACGTTTACGCATTCGGACTTCATCTAATTGGGTCCGACGCAGTAGCTGTAAAATCCGCGACCTCCTTACAAACACACAAGTAGAACTCGCTAACTATCCCGCCACCTCAGCGTGTAAGCAATTGAAGGAACAGTGGGGAGAAAATACAGCTTTCTTTATTTGAACTAGCCTTCGGTAACTCAAATTAGACCCTTAAAGAAGTTTTCATTAAACAAGATACGGAATATGAAAAACACTTCACCGAATGCAACGCCAGAAGGACGTAATAGGATAAATATTAAAATAGAAGAGTTCGCTGTCTCACAAATATGTTAGCTTATAAGTGCCTATACGAAACCGGATGCATTATTATCAAACTCCACAGCCTTTTCTTTTCTCATTCCGATGGAAGCAAGCTTCAAGAACTCGCGCGTTCTAGAAACGTGTTATGAAATGAGCACAGAGCAGCATTTAGGATTTACGAGATTGTAGGAAAATGAAATCCCGTGACGCGATTTTTTTTTTTTGGCACAGCCTTTTAATTTCTTTTCTTCCATGCAAGCCGCGACCAGCACAATACTGGTTCCTATGTCAAGATTCATGGATGCAGCGTTTGTCAAGATTCATGGATGCAGCGTTTATATTCCTAAGACCGAGTGGAGAAGAAAAATATGTAAGCGAGGTGTGCGTCAGTTGACGGCACTTAAAAAACAAATGGCATTGATAGCACATTCATTGTCAACAGCGCGTGACCGAACCGTTTTGACATGAGCCGGTAACCGTTATTTTTTTTTTCCGGTCCAGTTCCGGTTTGGGTTCATCGCGATAACAATATAACGGTTCGGGTTCGGGTTCAGTTCCGGAAAAAATACCGGTTCGGTTCCGGTTTTCGGTTCGGTTCGGTTCCGGTTCCGGTTCGACACCCTGGTAAAAATATAAGCTTATGCGGAGGGCAAGTTCGTCTACTTCTTGCGCAGGGGGTAGCGGTGACGTCAGAACGCCGAGCCCTGATTGGCTGATCGCGACCCCCTATCCGAGCGTCGTCTGATCCTTTGCAACGTCGTCTGCTCGCAACGTTGTCTGCGTCTGTCTTACCTTTCCTACGACTTTCGGAAGTGCAGAGGCCAGATTCACGAAACGATCTTACACCAAAAATGTGCGTAAGACAAAACTTGAGAACAAATTCGTATTCACGAAACGAAATTTTTGTAAGATTTGGGCAGGTTACGACGAAATCCTACGACAGCTCCGAAGCTGTCTTACGCACTTCTTACGATCAAATCAGCATGGCCAACAGCGTCGCGGACACGACGACCCACCGACGTTTATTTTTCTACGTGCGCTTCTCACGCGTCCCGACTTCAAGCAGCAAGAAAAAAGTAAAAAGTACTTGAAACAGACCACGACGAACAAGAACGCTGGATCCACAAACACCCGGGAAAAGTTCCAACGACCACGATTCCACCGAACGCGACCAAGCGAGCACGGCAGTTAGGCCTAGCAAGCACTCCGCAACTCGGCGATCGTCTGCGCACGACCGGTTGGCGTGCTGAATGGAATATGCCCGCGCGACCCTTGTGAACCCTTCCCGTCTTATAATTTGATCGCTGACCTCAATTTTAGATGAAGAGGTCAATTTCTTCCTCTTGTTATCTCCTTGTTTCCTGAGGCAACGGTGACTCTCGCCGGTGAAAAAGCGGTGAATCTCCGACAGACGCAGAAAAGGTAAAGCAGCCATCGCTTTGACTAGCAGACGTAAAGCAGACAACGTTAACTGCGCCAACCCGCCGACGCCGTTAAAGAGTGAGGGGTCTCGCCGCACACGAAAGGAGGGAAAAAGTATTTGGGAGGGAACTTGCGGACACTAACACGCTCACTCTCGGTTCTTAGTAAACAAACCTCGGTGCCTTGGGACACCTCGCCAGTGAGTCCTATGACATCCCTCCTTGATGCGCGTCTGCTAGTTGTTAGACAAAAACAACGTACCGCTCGAGTTATTTCGTCTGCCCTCTCTGAAAGGCGAAGTCGAGCTCGCTCGTAAAGACCTGCACTTCCGAAAGTCGCAGGAAAGGTAAGACAGACGCAGACGACGTTGCAAAGGAGCAGACGACGCTCAGATAGGGGGTTGCAATCAGCCAATCAGGGCTCGGCGTTCTAACGTCCCCGCTACTTCCTTTCTCATGCGCAGAAGACGAAAAGGAGCCCACTTGCGAGGCGTATAGATCGGCTAGTTCATATAAATCGTTTTGCAATACACAAGTATGCTTGCTAAATCTTGAAAATGGGGGAAAAAAAAAGTTCAGTCTTTCCACTTTGGTGAAGAAGGAAGAGCAGCGGAGCTGTAGCTTCTGTTCTCGGCGGTGGCCTTCCAGGCGAGCGATCTGCTCTTCT